GGAGTCTTCTGGGTTTTCCACATGAAGTATCATGTCATCTGCAAAGAGTGAGAGTTTGACTTCTTCTTTGCCAATTTGAATACCTTTTGTTTCTTTTTGTTGTCTGATTGTTGTTGCTAGGACTTCTAGTACTATGTTGAACAATAGTGGCAAAAGTAGGCATCCCTGTGTTCCTGATCTTTAAGGGAAAGTTTCTCTCAGCTTTCTCCCATTGAGAATGATATTCACTGTGGGTTTTCCACAGATGGATTTTACAAAGTTGAGGAATGTTCCCTCTAACCCTATAGATATATATCTGAAGAATTTTATACTCTGAAGAATTTTAATCAGGAAAGGATGCTGTATTTTGTCAAATGCTTTATCTGCATCAATTGAGAGGACCATGTGGTTCTTCTCTCTTCTTTTATTAATTTGTTCTATCACATTGATTGATTTGTGAATGTTGAACCACCCTTGCATCCCAGGGTTAAATCCTACCTGGTAGTGGTGGATAATATTTTTAATATGCTGTTGGATCCTATTAGCTAGAATCTTGTGGAGAATCTTGGCATCCATATTCATCAGGGATATTTGTCTGAAATTCTCTTTTCTGTTGGGGTCTTTGCCTGGTTTGGGGATCAAGGTGATGCTGGCCTCATAGAAAGAGTCTGAAAGTTTTCCTTCTGTTTCTATTTTTTGAAACAGCTTCAGGAGAATAGGTATTATTTCTTCTTTGAATGTTTGGTGGAATTCCTCAGGGCATCCATCAGGTCCTGGGCTCTTGTTTTTTGGGAGGTTTTGGATCACTGCTTCAATCTCATTACAGGTTATTTGTCTATTACAGGTTATTGTCAATTTCTTCCTGTTTCACTCTTGGAAGTTTATAGGTTTCCAGGAATGCATCTATATCTTCTGGGTTGCTTAACTCATTGGCATACAGCTGTGGATAATAAGTTCTGAAGATTGTTTCTATTTCCTTGGTGTTAGTAGTGATCTCTCCCCTTTCATTTATAATCTTATTAATTTGGGTCATTTCTCTTTCTTTTGGATTAGTCTGGCCAATGGTTTATCAATCTACTAATTCTTTCAAAGAACCAGCTTCTAGTTTCATTGTTGTATTCTACTGTATCTCTGGTTTCTAATCCATTGATCTCTGCTCTAATCTTGATTATTTCCCTTTCTGTGTGTGGGGTAGGCTTAATTTGTTGTTGATTCTCTAGTTCTTTAAGGTGTAAAGAGAGTTTGTGTATTCAGGATTTTTCACTTTTTTTGAGTGAGGCTTCTATGGCTATGTATTTTTCCCTTAGGACTCCTTTGCTGTATCCCCTAGGTTTTGAGCCAATGTGTTTTGGTTCTCATTGGTTTCCATGAATTGTTTAACTTATTCTTTGATTTCCTGGTTGACCCAAACATTCTTGAGCAGGATGGTCTTTAGCTTCCAAGTGTTTGAACTTCTTCCAAACTTTTTCTTGTGGTTGAGCTCCAGTTTCAAAGTGTTGTGGTCTGAGAATATGCAGGAAAAAATCTCAATCTTTGGGTATCAGTTGAGACCTGATTTGTGACCCAGTATGTGGTCTATTCTGGAGAAAGTTCCATGTGCACTCGAGAAGAATGACTATTCTGTTGTTTTAGGGTGGAATGTTCTATATATATCTATGAGGTCCATCTGGGCCAATGTGTCATTCAAAGCTCTTGTTTCTTTATTGATTTTCTGCTTAGATGATCTGTCTGTTGCTGAGAGTGGCATGTTAAGATCCCCTACAGTTAACATATTCTTATCAATATGTATCTTTATTTTGGGCGCCTGGGTGGCTCAGTGGGTTAAGCCGCTGCCTTCGGCTCAGGTCATGATCTCAGAGTCCTGGGATCGAGCCCCACATCGGGCTCTCTGCTCAGCAGGAAGCCTGCTTCCTCCTCTCTCTCTGCCTGCCTCTCTGCCTACTTGTGATCTCTCTGTCAAATAAATAAATAAAATCTTTAAAAAAAAAAAAATATGTATCTTTATTTTGATTAACAGTTGGCTTATGTAGTTGTCTGCTCCCATGTTGGAGGCATAAGTATTTACAATTGTTAGATCTTCTTGTTGGATAGACCCTTTAAGAATGATGTAGTGTCCTTCTGTATTTCTGACTACAGTCTTTAGCTTAAAATATAATTGTTTGGGGCGCCTGGGTGATTCAGTGGGTTAAAGCCTCTGCCTTCGGCTCGGGTCATGATCTCAGGGTCCTGGGATCGAGCCCCGCATCGGGCTCTCTGCTCCGCGGGGAGCCTGCTTCCTCCTCTCTCTCTGCCTGCCTCTCTGCCTACTTGTGATTTCTCTCTGTCAAATAAATAAAATCTTTAAAAAAAAATAATTGTTTGATATGAGAATTGCTACCTCAGCTTTCTTTTGAGGTCCTTTGGCATGAAAGATGGTTCTCCATCCCTTCACTTTTAGTCTGAATGTATCTTTAGGTTCAAAACGAGTTTCTTGTAGACAGCAAAGGAATAGGTCATCTTTTTATCCCATCTGCAACTCTGTGCCATTTTATGGAAGCATTTAGGTTGTTCACATTCAGAGTGATTATTGAAAGATATGTTTTTATTGTCATCATGTTGCCTGTGAGATCCTTGTTTCTACAGATTGTCTCTGCGAATTTCTGTTCTATGTCACTCATGGGGTCTTTCTTTTATTGAACCCTCCTTAATATTTCTTGCAGGATCAGTTTGGTGGTTACATAATCTTTTAGCCGTTGCTGGTCTTGGAAGTTCTTTATCTCTCCGTTCATTCTAAATGATAGCCTTGCCAGATAAAGTATTCTTGGCTGCAATATTTAGTGCGCTGAATATGTCTTGCCAGGCCTTTCTGGCTTGCCAGGTTTCTGTGGCAGGTCTACCATTATTTTGATGTTCCTCCTTCTGTTTGTAAGGAATCTCTTTCCCCCCTAGCTGCTATTAAGGTATTTTCTCTGGATTTAAGATTCATGAATTTCACTATCTCATGCTGGGGTGTCACTCTACCCTTGTTGATCTTGGGGGTGTCCTCTCTGCCTCTAAGACATGGACACTTGTTTCATTCCCCAGGTTAGGGAAATTGTCAGCTAGAATTTGATCAATTATATCTTCTAGTCCTCTCTCTCTCTCTCCACCCGCTCAGGGATCCCAGTAATTCTGACATTGGAACGTTTTATGGTGTCATTTATTTCTCTTATTCTGTTTTCATAGATTCTAAACTGTTTGTTTCTAGCCTCCTCCTGATCCTTCTTTTCTATCAGTTTGTCTTCTAGATCACTAATTCGATCTTCTGCCTCATTTGCCCTAGCTGTTAGAGTATCTAGATTAGATTGGATCTCATTGATGCATTTTTAAGTTCTGCCAGATCAGCTCTCACTTCTGCCCTTAGAGAATCTATGTTGCCACTAATAGTTTTCTTCAACCTAGCTATTGTCTGCATAACTATTACCCTGAATTCTCTTTCCGACATCTTGCTTATGTCCATATCCATTAACTCAGTAGCAGAGGTCACAGTCTCTGAATTTTTTCCTCTGTTGGGGGTTTCTCCTCCTAGTCATTCTGGTGAGAGGTGGTTGAGGGAATGTACAGAGTCCAAACTACTGACCACAATCCAAGCAAGATGCACCAGTTTGTTTTTTTTTAAGATTTTTATTTATTTATTTATTTGACAGACAGATCACAAGTAGGCAGAGAGGCAGGCAGAGAGAGACAGGAGGAGGAGGCAGGGTCCCCGCTGAGCAGAGAGTCCGATGGAGGACTCGATCCCAGGACCCCGAGACCACGACCCGAGCCGAAGGCAGAGGCCTTAACCACTGAGCCACCCAGGCGCCCCAAGATGCACCAGTTTTATAGGGACTTTAGGGTTCTTGGCCTCTTGTTCTTTCAGCCTGTCTTCTAGGGGGTGGGGCCTGCTGCACTGTAACTCAGACAACCCTGTTTGGACAGAGTTGCCCTGCCCCTGTGGTAGGAGATGGGCTCAGTGAAAACCAGTTTTGGGGGGCTTTTGTTCTCTGGCAGCTTTCCCTGGCAGGTTTCTGTGTCCCTTCCAAGAGTCAGAGCAGAAATGATTGCGTCCAAGCTTCTGTCTCAGAACAGAGAGATCACAGACTGTTCTCCCAAAAGCCCTGTAGGTCACACTGACTCGGTTTTTCTCTGCTGCTAAAAACCACAGCAACCTGGGTTGTGTGCCCCACAGCAGCACTCCCAGCCCTAGCTTCCAGGTCCAGGCATGTCTCTGTCCTTTGTGCTTCTAAAAACTGCCAGCTCTCCCCAATTCACATGTGCGCCCCTGCAGCTCCAGGTTTCAGCCTGGGGGGCCGCCCTAAAGTCCTTTTCCCCTGGCTACCATCTTCGAGTCTGTGCCCAGGCCTCAGGCCTCAACACAGGAGGCTTTTGCACTCCTGTGTCATTTCACCTTCCCAGTAAGCCAGTGCTTATAGCGGCTCCCTCCCCCTTACGGTTATCTTCCGATATATGCCCACAGAATCCAGGCTCCTTGCTTCATACCTCAAAACCAGTCACTGGAGATATTCTACTGGTATAGATCCTGATATATCTTCTTACATATCAGGCTGATTTCGTGGGTGTTCAGAGTGGTCTGGCAGATATCCAGCTCAATTCAGGGGACCGATTGAAATAGGGTTCCCTACACCAACATCTTGCCAGGGTTGCTCTGATCTGGATTTCTATTTTTTTCCCCAGATTTGAGAAATTTTCAGGTATTGTTTCTTAAAATAATTTTTTTCTGCCCCTTTTTCTCTCTCTTCTCCTTCTGTGGGCCTTACAATGCAAATGTTATTATGCTTGGTGGTGTTGCTGAGTTCCTAAATTCCTAGAGTCTATTTTCTTTTTCTTTTTTCTTTCTTTCTTTTTGGTCTCTTTCTCCATTTCAGCTTGATTGGTTTCCATTACTCTGTCCTCCTGGTCACTGATCCATTCTTCTGCTTCCTCCAGTCTACAATTTATTCCACTTAGTATATATATATATATTTTTTTCCTTGATGAATAAGTTTATTATTGTCTTTATCTTTATTAGCTCTCAACAGCCCACTCCTGAGCTCAAAGGAAGCTTGCCTTCTTCTGAGCTATCCGATCTTTCTTTTGGGCAAGACACATTTTGGGATGGTTCCACCTCTTCTTTTTAACTTCCTTCTTAGGCTTCTTCTCATAGACTGGGTTCTCTCGTATAGCAGCATGAGCTTTCTTATACATCTCCTCCATCATGTCTGGAGTTACATTGTTCTTTATGTATCGAGAGAATTGTTTCTTGTATGCATCTTTGTCTTCTTCCATTAGGTAACGCATATAATCTGCAACATTCTGACCCATGATGTGCTTTTGATGTACTTCTGCATTGAATTCCTTGCTTTCTGAATCATAACCAGGGAATAGTTTGGTACTGTGAGGGATAGACAAGCCTCCATCCACTGCTCCCTTGAGGGCCCCCAAAACCTTATTTCCAGTAGTAGTTCTGGCAAGCCCTGCATCCAAACAGCAGGTGAAGGCACCAGGTTGACCATCAATGCTTTCCACATTGTATTCATCTCCAGTCACTTCCACTTGGCCTTCATAGATCTTGTCCATGCCAAACCTATTAAGGAGCCTGCAGGCCAGCAGCAGGCTGGTACAATATGCTACAGTGTAATTTGTCAGGCCAACTTTCACACCATACTTTGGGAGTTCATGAGCATAAGCTGCACAAACTATCATATCTCCTTCTATGCGGGCATAAGCAATCTGACAGATGATATCTCTGTTGGTTACATGAACTATCATCCTGTATTTAGGTGTGTTGTACTTATTTTTATCTTGAATTACCAAGCATTTCCTGGCATAATAATCAGTTTTACCCTCTCGATGTCTTCTAAATTTCACTTGGTATCTCTTGAAGTAAGCCTTATTCTTGACAACCTTAACAAACCCCATCGTATGGATCAGAGACCAGCATCCATGGCTCACCACAGACCAGCAGGCCCCCACTTAGTATATTTTTAATTTCAGTGATTGACTTCTTTGTCCCTTGTCCTTCTATGTGTTTTCTATCTCTTTGTTGAGGGTCTCATGAGGTCTTCTACTCTTTTCTTAAGTCCAATGAGTACCTTTGACCATTACTTTGAATTCTCTATCAGACATATCACTTTCTCTGTTTCATTAAGGTCTCTTGATGTGATTTTTGTCCTGTTCTTTCATTTGGGACATATTCCTCTCTCCTCATTTTGTCTAGCTCTGTCTCTATGTGTTTGGAAAGTCAGCTATGTCTCCTGATCTTGAAAGCAGTGGTCTTTTTTTTTTTTTAAGATTTTATTTATTTATTTGAAAGACAGAGATCACAAGTAGGCAGAGAGAGAGGAGGAAGCAGGCTCCCTGCTGGGCAGAGAGCCTGATGTGGGGCTCAATCCCAGGACCCTGGGATCATGACCTGAGCCAAAGGCAGAGGCTTTAACCCACTGAGTCACCCAGGCATCCTGAAAGCAGTGGTCTTATAAAAAGAAGAAGGAAGGAAGGAAGGAAGGGAGGAAGGAGGAAGGAAGGAGGGAAGAAGGAAGGAAGAGAGGAGAAAGGAAGAGAGAAAAAGAAAAAAAGGAAGGAAGAAAGGAAGCAGTGGCTTCATGAAGAAGGGGTCCTGTAGTGCCCTGCAGTACAATGTCCCATGTTTACCAGAACCTGGTACTTTAGGGCTGTCTCCTGTGTGTGTTGTGTGTGCCCTGCTGTTGTGTCTTGGCTGCTCTTTCCTTCAGTCCAGTCATCCACAGTGGCTCTCTTTGCCTGCTGTAAACAGGGTTTGGTCCATGTGTTGTTAAGGGATCAGTCTGGGGCCAGCTTGGGCTTGAGTTGAATCAGACCCAAAGGCATTTGCCAGAGATGCTGTAGCACCAAACTGCAGGGCTCTTTCCCTGTGGTTTTCCCTGAGATGCTTTTGTTGGTGTGCAGGGTCCACAGTGGACCCAATATCTGTCCCCAATCTACTGCAGTCATATGGATGTGTGTGGTTATCATCCCCTCTCCCCAAAGTCACTTTAGAGTGGTGTTGGCCCCTACTGTGGCTACATACACACTGCCAGGCTGGTGGCATACCTTCATATGGGCTCTGATCAAGGTTGTACTGGAGGGGGGACATGTCTTCCCACAGGTGTCCCTGTGTCTAGGCTGCGGAGAGGGGAAGGGAAATGATACCCACTAGCTCCTTTGTTCTTGGAGAAATCTCCCAATGATCCCTGCCCCTCCAGCACATGTTCTGAGATTAGTAAGTAAATCTTTCTCCCCTATACCCCAGGCAGTTTATCAAGCTCTTGCCCTTATGCTGTATCTCAGCAGAGTTGTTTCTTGGGCTATCTTTTTAAGAATGGGAACTCAGTTTCCACTTACCCTCTCTGCTCTCTCCCAAAGCCAAGCCTGCTGAGTTTTAAAGTTCTGGGGTTTAAGCCCCACCAGTTGTATGAACTCGTGAGATTATGCCTCTCCGGTTTTCAAGTCAAATGTTATGAAGGTTTGTCTTCCCCATGTGAGTCCCCCATGCCTGGGGTTCCTGGTGTGAGGGTCTGTTTATCTCTCCTCTCTGCTACCTTGGCACCTCTCCCTCCCATGGACAGTTCTATGGGCTCACTTAGCTCTCTACTGGATTTTGCCTTGCCTACCCTCTTTGATGTGGCCTCTTCTTTACATTTAGGAGTAGAGAGTCTTTTCTGCCAGTCTTTGGGTCGTTTCCTGGAAGGAAGGCAGAGGAGGAAAGAGAAAGAAGGAAAGAGAGAAAGATGTGTGTTCTACTGGTATCCATGGGATGAGGTGAAGTTTGGGTACTCTTACTCTGCCATCTTCCCTGAAGTTTTTGTGGTGCTGGAAATTACAGATTGTAAATAAGCCCCACTAGAATTATTTGTCAAGAGGTTTCTTGAAAAATCTTGTCTTCCTTTCCTGTCGATATTCCTTCTCTGAGGCTGATTTCTCTATGGTGGGTGTTAGTCAAAGAAAACATGCAAGCACCATCCCCCACAAGGAGCATGCTTGTCAATCTGAACCAGCTGAGACAAAAGAAGAGAATCCAACTCCTTTACCACCTTAAAAACTTTGATGTATAGTGTTCATTCCAAGTGAACATATAAGTGTTTAATACAGAAAATCACTACTTATAACTGTTTAGTTATGATTGCAGAATGACAAAGTTGAGTAGAATAGTGAGTCCTTATGGTAAATGTTTTATAGGTACTTTCAATGAATAACATGCACTATTTTCATAATTTTACTTTTCTTATGTTCTTATATTCTTGAAATGTAATATATCTTGAATCTAGTAATTTAAAAGTTAGTTTTATATTCTCATTGTTGTATTTGACAAATATTGTCCCACAGGGATTGATTTAAAGCAAACCAACCAATTCTTCACCACTAAGAATTGAGAAGCACCATTTTATATGGTGGCTTCTCTTGGTGCTGGCTCTTGACAACCTGACTCAGTGACCCCCTCTTCTTCCCTGTGTGTTCATGTGGGGGCAGGATTCCAGCTTTGACGAGGCAGCCTCAGGGGGACCAGAGCCTGGATAACAGCTGGCGAGGGTGGAGGTACCTAATTGCCCAGTCCTGAGCCAGCAAGGTGGGTCAGTTCCATAGCTCCCGCAGAACTGGGGGCACCCTCTTGGAACAGCTGAGCATGCAGTACAATGACCCAAGACCAGTGAAGGTGACTGTTGGCAACCAGGAGAGTCAGGGGTCACATGGAGCCATTGTTACACTGGGTCTTAGTGTCATGGGTGATGAGTAGAAGCCCCAGAGAGGACTAAGAGTTTATCTACTTGGGGGCTTAGGAGAACAAAATATCTATTTTTTCTCTTCTCTCTCTCTCTCTTTTTTTTTTTTTAAGTAGGCTTCATGCCCTGTATGGACTCACGACCCTGAGATCAAGACCTGAGCTGATATCAAGAGTCTGACACTTAACCGACTGAGCCACCCAGGTACCCCTGTTTTTTTCTCTTCTGTAAAGATGTCCCTAAACTTTGGCCTGGTGCTTGTGAGTCACCTCTCCCAGTGGTCCTTCAGTGGTGCAGCTGCCTGGTTGCAGGAAACCCTGTTGCATTCTGCCCTACTTTTTTTTTTTTTTTTAAGATTTTATTTACTTATTTATTTCACAGACAGAGATCACAAGTAGGCAGAGATGCAGGCAGAGAGAGAGAGGAGGAAGCAGGCTCCCCGAGGAGCAGAGAGCCCGATGCGGGGCTCGATCCCAGGACCCTGGGACCATGACCTGAGCTGAAGGCAAAGGCTGTAACCCACTGAGCCACCCAGGCGACCCCATTCTGTCCTACTCTTGATTGACACCGGGTTCCTGTCTTACTTCGTTTCCCCGAGACTTTTCATGTCAACTCACGCGCACTGCTGAGCCTCCATGCTATGGGTCTAAGCTAAAGGGCCCACTTTCCCTCTCTGGTCCGAAGTTCTTTGGGACTTGAAATCAGGATCCAGGCTGCACCTTGGGTATTAGACATGATGAATGTCCAAACACCAAGGAACAGCCGCTTCCTCCAACCCTGGGTTCAGTCAGTGTGCTATGGCTCTGTCAAGCTCAGGAGACTTGGGCTAATGTATTAAAGAGTAAAGAAGCAGGATATCTACAGCCCACTCTCAAATGCCTTTGGAAAAAGCAAGGAAAAATTTGTTTAAAAGGGATGTGCATTGAAAGGGAGTGGATTAATTTCCAGAGGTAGAAACACCCTTCTAGTACAGAATGTTTTGTAAACTATATTTTGCTTTCTTCTGTCTCCTGGGTAGGGCAGGACAGAGGAAGTGGTTTACTTCCCATTTTATGCTCAGTTTCTTTAGTGATAGCTCAAGACTGTGCGTAAGCCGATCCCTTGGCCTGGAACACCTCCTTCCAGTTCACTTGGTCAACTGAGACCAGGCCTCCTACCTTCCCTCAAGGTCTCTGTTCATCCCGGTTGCCATCCCTGAATTCCTTTCCAGGGAAAAGCAAACCCACATGAATTCAGGATTGGATCATGCCGGTAAATTCTTTCAGGTCTTCTGCTGTCTTAAAGTGCCCTCTACTGGCTACAGAAAATAAATCCTCCCAGGATACATTCTCCCGCCAGGAGCCCACATGAGCAAATTAATTTTTTAAATTTCTAATCCGGGGCGCCTGGATGGCTTAGTGGGTTAAAGCCTCTGCCTTCGGCTCAGGTCATGATCCCAGGGTCCTGGGATCAAGCCCCACATTGGGCTGTCTGCTCGGCGAGGAGCCTGCTTCCTCCTCTCTCTGCCTCCTTCTCTGCCTACTTGTGATCTTTGTCTGTAAAGTAAATAAATAAATGTTTAAATTTCCAATCCATTTAAGTCATCAGAATAAATTTCCACCTCCCCAGATGCATCTAAGTTCTGGGTGACAGCACTCCTATGAGCTTGGAGGGAGGCACGTGTCTACTTTGTTCCCTATGTTGGAAAGGGCCCCTTGGGCATACCTGCCTCTCTGTTCCCAGGCCATGTTTAGAAGTGAGTCCTAATCTGTCTGGTACCAGATACTTGGTGATCCCCTGGGGATCTCTCTGTGGAGACCCACTGGCCACTTCTACTTTTGTGTGGTCATTGCCTGAATGAGGCAGGGTGGTATTCTAGAATATCTTCCCTTTCTTGGCCCCCACTATGAAACTAGCTCATCTGTACTTGGATCTTCAGACTTCTCGGGGGCTTCTCCCAAGACCCTTGAGTTGGCCCAGGGTCAGGGAAGGTGAAGGGCCCCCATGTCAGCTGTGGGTCAGAGCCCCGTCTAATGTTCTCCTTCATGTACTGGCTTGGAGAATCTGCTGGGCCATCGCGGTAGCGGAGGGGTAGTAAGTAGTAAAAAGAGAAATTGGCTTAGTGGGTTTCATCTCAAATCTTTCATCTTTTTTTTTTTTTTTTTAAAGATGTTTATTTATTTGAGAGAGAGAGAGCGAGCACAAGCGGTGGGGAGAGGTAGAGTGCGCGAGAGAAGCAGACTCTCTGCTGAGTAGTGAGCCCAACACAAGGCTCGATCCCAGGGGACCTGAGGCTAAGGTGGATACTTAACCAACTGAGCCACCCAGGTGCCCGCTGAATCTTTTGACCTTAATCAAAACATTTACTCAGCTTTTCCTGTACTCATAATTAAAAATACCAAGAATTAGACATCTTTGTTTCCTGGTCCCATCAACTGCCTCTTTGAGAACTTCCCCTTGGGCCCTGGTGCCTTCTGGTTGAGTCTCCTGGGCTGGGGGTAGGATTCAGGATGTATGTGAAGAAATTAAACACAGAACAGGGAGGAAAAAAGTCACCCCAATCATCCTCCTGCCACATGCCACAGCCACGAGGCAGAAGAATACATTTATTCTTATAGTTTACAAGACCTATGGTATTAGGGTGCCTTCCAACTTTTAGGGGTTTTCTTTAAAAAAAAAAAAAAAGATGTTTATTTTGAAAGAGAGCGTAAGCAGGGAGAGGAAGGGAAGGAGATGGAGAGAGAATCTGAAGGCCTGATGTGGGGCTTGATCTCACAATCAGGAGATCATGACCTGAGCTAAAACCAAGAGTCAGACATTTAACTAACTGAGCCACCCAGTCACCCCAAATCCTTTTTTTAAGTTAAGCTCTACACCCAACCTGGGGCTCAAACACACACACCCTGAGATCAAGAGTTGCATGTTCTACCAGCTGAGCCAGCCGGAAACCTCCGAAAATGACTTGCAGACTTCAAGCCCCTCTATCTTAATTCTTTAGCTAGTATCTCCTTTAAGAAATAGGTCAAGCTTTTACATAGTGACTGTACAACTGAATTCAATGAAATTTAACATGGACACAGCATTTTTAAATGTGTTCAATATTCAAATTTCTCTGATCATCCCAGCTTCTTTTAGAGCATGTTTTTTATTTCAGAACCATGAATTCCCTTAATTGTCTCTTTATTCTCCTTTATTCGGCTGTAGGTCCTGGATCTTTCTTTCATGACATCGACATTTTTCAAGGGAACGGGTACCTTGTTTTATGGAATGTCCTCCATTGGGGCTAGTCAGTTTCTCAGCCTCATGACTCAGGTTTTGCGATTTTGGCAGAGTAGCACAGAAGGGATGTATCCTTCCCAGTACATCACATCAGGAGGCACTGAGGCCAGTTTGTCTCATTTGGGTAATGTTAAGTTTAATGACTTGTTAGAAGTGGTGCATAACCATGACTGGTTTCTCCACTGCAAAGGTATTTACACCTTCTGCAAAATAGTAAACATTCTATCGGAGGAAATGTATGTAACTAGCATGCTACCTAACAGACTCTCACCCAACTCAGTGGTTCTGGCGTCCATTGCTGTCAAGATGAGTTAGTTTTATGGTTGCAAAATGGTGTTTTTCCGAACTCTATTGCCCCTTTTCTATCAGTTACCATGCTACTGTAAGGAAGGGCCTAGAAGAATGCATATGCTAGGATCCTTTTCCCATTCCTCCTCTACATCTTTACTCTCTGCTTGAAATGTCATCCTTCCCTCCCCACCCCCACACCTAGCATATCCTGCCCATCTTTGAAGCCCAGATCCAGGGTCACCTTGTCTCAAAGCCTTCCCTGCCCCAGTTGGGCAGGTAAACCCCTCACTCTGCCTTTCCCTGCAAGATGGGCCACAGAGGTGTATGGCCTTCTCAAGCCCCCCACCCCCACCCCAGGGCCGGGAGAGACTGTGGAGGGAAAACCCTCCCTCACATAGCAAGAATCCCACCCCCAGCACTGCCTGACCCAGCACAGTGGTTCTCAAACTTTAGCCCCAGAATCCCCAGGAGGTCTGGGGAAAATGCAGAAGATGCCTGGGCCCTACACTGGATTCTGATGCAGCCCAAGCATCTCACTGGCTTAACCAGTTTGTTTCTCCTTCAGATCACGTGCAAAATGCAGGTTGGCACAGAGTCTGGCCCATGTGGTCCTGGGCAACTCAGGGTGAAGGAGGCCACACCAACCTGTCCCCCCCCCCTTTCCACCTGCCCTTCAGGGGAAGGGAGGGGCGTGGGGAGTCGGGCACGGATCTCTCTCTGCTCACAGCCTCCAGGCCAGAACTAATCATGTGCCTTGTTCCCTGCAGAGTGGCTGGGAAGCATGGGGATCAGAGGGACCCCTCGTTGAGCATCCTAGCTTCCCGGTCACCACCGCGTTCCCCTTCTCTGCCAGCAGGTGGGTCTTCTTTCTGCTCCTCAAACACACCAAATGCATTTCTGGCCTTTGTGCCTTTGCACTGGCTGCTCTCTGCCCATGTGGTCTTGTGCCAGATCTCACACGGTTGACTCAAGTGCCACCCCCCTGGAGAGGCCTTCCCTGACTGCCACCCACTCCCTCACAACACCCCACTAGAATTCTCTGCACGGCCCTCCTTAAGCCATGTTTGGTGCCATCTTTCTCCCACTAACAGACTGTACACTCTGTAAGAGTATAAGCGACTCCAATCCCCACAACCTAGAACAGTGCCCAGCACACAGTAGAGAGTCAAGGCAAGCTGATTCAACAGATTAACCCCTAAGTATTTTACTGTTCACATCTTGCAGGTTAAGAAAAGAGGCCCCAAAGACAATATGCGGCTCCCCCAAGGTCACACCAGGACCAAACGGCAGCACCTGGTTTGAAATGCATGCTTCAACGGACAAATGGATAAGGAAGATGTGGTCCATATACACTATGGAGTATTATGCCTCCATCAGAAAGGATGAATACCCAACTTTTGTAGCAACATGGACGGGACTGGAAGAGATTATGCTGAGTGAAATAAGTCAAGCAGAGAGAGTCAATTATCATATGGTTTCACTTATTTGTGGAGCATAACAAATAGCATGGAGGACAAGAGGAGATGGAGAGGAGAAGGGAGTTGGGGGAAATTGGAAGGGGAGGTGAACCATGAGAGACTATGGACTCTGAAAAACAATCTGAGGGTTTGAAGCGGCGGGGGGTGGGAGGTTGGGGGAACCAGGTGGTGGGTATTGTAGAGGGCACGGATTGCATGGAGCACTGGGTGTGGTGCAAAAACAATGAATACTGTTACGCTGAAAATAAAAAATAAGATAAAAAAAAATGCATGCTGCTTCCTGCATAATTTCACTGCGTCCACAGACAGAGGTGGCAGAGTAAGTTTGATCCTTTTTCTCTAAATTCTCTGATGACCCTCCACTGCCCTTGGTTTAAAAAAAAAAAAAAATTAAAGCTTTTTATTTCAGAGGAGCAGGGAGGAGGGGCAGAGGGAGAGGGAGAGAGAATCCTAAGCAGACTCTGCAGTGACCACGGAGCCCCATGGGGGCCTCAATCCTATGACCCCGAGGTCACGACCCGAGCTGAAATCAAGAGTCAGACACTGACCTGACTGCACTGTCCAGCGCCTTCTGCCTCCACAGAAGTTTTTTAACACAACTCTGTGGAGGGCAATTTGGTAAAATCAATCTAGGAATTTATCACACAGATGTGCTCACATATGCGGAAGATTACATACATGCAAATTTTTTTTTCGTGGCAGTGCTGTGATAGAAAAGGCCAGAAGGAACTCCGTGTGTCGCCATAGGGTACTGGGGCCCGGGAGTGTGACTGTATCCACTGTGGGTACGTGTGCATAGTGGAACAGCGCAGCCCTAAAAGGTACGGAAGATCTTCGGGTTCCAGCCGGACAGGTGTCTAAGGGACGGCCCCGTGTGGAAAGGGGTGGTCGGAACAGCATGGAATGTAGATGGCTTCCATTTAATCTTCTGGAAGAGCTGAATAGCTTTACGTCTCACATAAATGTTAAAGAGAAAAATGAAACACAAGCCAGAATCCCCGTGTGGTTTCCATCACTTGAACTTCTTTTATTGATATTAGAGAATAAAATTTTTGTTTTTGTTTTTTGATGCATGACAACACACTCTGTTGGTGGTGGTTGCACAAGGTTGATCATTAACTATACTAAATACTGCAACCTCCGAATTGCTGATTTTTACACTGGTATTTCCATTGTGGTGATGGGTGGCTCCTCTCTGAATACATGAAGTGGTCCATTCAATTCGTGGTTTTCATATTCCTTTGTTATTCTACCTACTGCTTTAAAATACATTCCAATACAAAGAATTTCCTTGCAGTGAGTGCACGCATACAACCACTAGGGGAGCTGAAAATAATGAACCAGCCCTCCGCCTCGAGTTCTGAGAGTAAGTAATCTAGAAGGGTGGGACTGGAGCTTGCTCCTTTGAGATGTTCTCAAAGTCTTCAGTGGGCAGTTTACACTCAGTTGGACACATTTTTGCCAGGGTGGGGGGGCTCGGGGAACAGGGGATGGCAACAAGACAATTTCATCTGCATACGATGTCACCCTTCCACAAATGCCTGGAACAAAGGACCAGGGAGCACTGTGCTGGGCAGTACAGCCCTCAGGTGAGAATAAATAAGTTACCTGCTCAGAGTGGAAGGCCACAGACACATGTGGCCAGAACTGGAGAGGACAGCACACACACATAATAAATAAAAGTTCAGAACTTGGTCAGTGATGGCAACAGGATCAGGCTCCCCTCTGTTCATTTCTGGTTCTTCCCACGAGCACCTCTATCTGTTCCTAGGGATAAATAGTGGCACACGGAGACCAAGGCTTTGGTGGGGCAGGTGGCAGGAGAAAAGATCGTGTAGTGACCACTCTGTCCTGAAACACGAGGGCAAGGTGTGCGGGCATCAGCTGTGTGCGTAAAAACCACGTACATGGGAGCACGTGGGCCAGCCTCCGACGTCACAGCGAGGACTGCCTCACTGCCCTTGTGAACCAGTTTGGCATTACCTTTGGGGGTGGTTCTTTTTACTTTTCCCGTGGACACCTTCCATCCACGCCCTTTTCCCCTGCCCCCTTTCCTTTTCACCCTATTGTGAAATTTGTCTTGGGTCTGGTCTTAATCTGGTTGTGATCCTGGGTCCCCAAACTCCACTGCTATCTCACGAGCGACTGGGTATGTGTGAAACGGATTTCCGTGTCCCAGAGCCACAGAGAAAACAGAGACGGCGACTTTCCATCTAGTACCATTACTTCCCTGCATATAAAAAAATGGAAAAAGTAAGACCTCACACAGAACACAGCGGGAGTGTCAATACATTCTTTCAGGTCTGACGTCTGGCCTGCGGACCGAGGACAGGACATCTAAGGATGACTCAGGTTGAAGGCATGGAAAGAAAAAGTCACACCTCAAAAAAGAAGCGACTCTCCATTGAAGCCGAGTGAAGGTCTTGAGGAAGCTGGGCCACCTGGAAGAGGAAGTACAGCCCTGCCATCCTGGAAGCTACATCAGCTGCGTGTGGCCACAGACGGAGGCTCGGCGGCTCCCCCGGGGTGTGGGAGGCGAGGCGCCCAGCGACACGGGCCGCGTACCAGCTCGCAATGTGTGGCACTGGGAGCCAGCCACAGATTCACGGGTTTCCTATCCATGGGATAAGAACGCACTTGGGAGTTTCAGTGCTTCTCGAAGGAGAGAACAGGACACCCGCCTGCCCTTTGCCTCGGGCTAACACAGGCCAAGTCCCTGTGAGAGCAGGGATGGTGCTGGGGGCCCCTCCCGCAGGATTGGGAGAAAGGGCAGATGGACACAAGGTCTGCAAGTCCTATGAACACACTTTACAAAGTCTCCACTCTTCCCCCAATAGGCACGAGGTTGATTTGTCTAGCTCAGAGGGGAGGGACGGTGGAGGAAAGAGGGAGAGTGCGCAGTGCAGAGTGGGGGAGGAGAGGGAGGCAGGAGCAAGCCTGGTCTCCTCCAGGGGAAGGGCCCCCTCCCCTCCTCACCGTAAGCTAGTTTGTTTGGGGAGCTTAGCACCCATCAAGATGCCCGAGGTGAGAGTCACAGGCGCTTTCATCTGCATGCTGGACCCCACCATGGTGGGGAAGCTGCGGTTCCTCCGGATGCCGCTGTTGAGCTGCAGCCCACCCATGGCACTGGTGACGGTGGGGCATCCCAGGGGCAGACCCTCAGGGACCAGGCCACCGGGGACGAGGGCCTGGGCAGGGCCCGGAGGTCCACAGAGGAGAGGTCCCTGATCCTCAGTCAAGGTGGGGACGTGGGCTCGCCCTGAGTTCACCACTTTGGCCACGCCAAACCTCCTGACTTTGTCCACGAGGTTGAGGTTGGAGACAGACACGTCTGTCTGGCTCTCGCTGCTCCGGAAGTTTTTCTTTTCCCTCACTTCCCGCAGGATGGAGCTGGCCGGCTTGGAGGCCAGGAAGTTGTCATAGGGAGGGCTCGTGCACTTGAACTCAAAGGAAGGTGGGGAGGACGTGGGCGTCTGCATAGGTGAGTTGGGTGGGGTGGAGGGGATCACGGCCATCCTGGGAGTATAGGAGTGCAGGAGGGAGCCCCGGCCGGCTCTGTCCCAGCTCTGAGGATCATACACGGCCGCGGAAATGCCCCGCTCCTTCAGCAGCCACACCAGCCCCAGAGACGTGCTCATGGTGGTCGTGGACTCACGGATGTTAGTGAAGGACTCGGCCAGGCTCAGTCTCCGTGGAGTGCATGGGGTGGCCACCGGCGTGGACTTCAAGTGGCTGGCACTGCCACAAGCTGGAGTTGGAGCCGAGTTAAGGCTGATAAAAGACAAAAGGTCATTCATCAGAAAATGCCCATAAGCCCCTGGGAACAGCTTGTGGCCAGTCTCCTGCAGGGGCGCAGGGAGGAGTCCCCCAACCCAGGCTCCCCAGATACCTCTTTCCCTGTCTGTTCCTCCCTCCTACCCAAGAGGGCTCTGGGTTCCCTTGCAGGGGGCATGGAAATGATTCCCTTGTCTCAGGCCCAGAAGGGGGGCTAACTGTCCCCTTTGCAGGTGAGGAAAGTCAGACTCAGAGGTTAGGGGGCTAGTCAATGTCACACTCAGCTATTAAGTGGAAGACCCAGGATTTGAGCCCAAGTCTGAGGGCTCAGGCCTCAAGGATGGGGGTGGGGAGAGCCCCTCAGCAGAGAGGCTTCCTTTCCCTACCAAATGTAATCAAATTTCAGCATTCCTTCCTAATGACTACTTCCCTGAAGCCAGAAGTTAACCAGGGCTCTGGGATCTGAGAGCTCATCTTGGGAATGGCCCCAGCAGGTGGGACACCCAGGTGGAGGGCCCCTGAGTGATGGGGAGATGGAGACTGAGAGTGTGCATCACATCAGCAGCGGACCCCTGCCTCCTGACCCCCACTGTAGGCTCTTCCCTCTATGCCACACTACCCCTTCGTCCTCCTCCCGTGGTTGCTGAGTTCACCTCAGGGGGTGGAGATGTGGGGTCAGCAGCAGCCATGTCAGATAACATCAGGCCTACATCTGTAGAACGATCTAGAAAAGGCTCACGGCATATATGAAGCCTGCATCAAAGGAAAGCCTTCTTTCCAAAGATTTCTTCATCCACCCCTGCTATGGTGGCTGAGGACCCAGGATGTTCCAGAAGCTGGGGTCCCTCAGTAATAGGAGTTAGGAAAGAATAGTGTAACAGTGCTGTAGGGGGAAAGGCCCTCTCTTAACAGCTGGTACAGGGATGCGGCTGGGAGGCCACTTAGGCACAAAGGCCATTCACAGTTGCTGGATGAACCAGCAAGGGCAAAGCAGCACACCCCTCTCCTTACAGTGTTGTGAGCCCTGTCCTGCTACCCACCCAAGGACACGGCAGGGGCTGTAGGTGCCCCCTGGAGCAGCCAGCTGGGTGGGCCCCAGGAGCTGGGGGACCCTCTGTCCCCAGCCTGGCGAGGGGAGGGCCAGATACCTTGGGCAAGCCACGAGCCAGGGGAATGGGCAGGAAAGGGCCTCCTGCTGTGGGAGGGAAGGTTCACAAGCCAAGTTCAAGCTAAGGCATCCTTTTGGCTGCTTGCCGCTGGCTGGTCAGCACGGGGCGAGAAGCCCAGAATAGACCCACCTCACACAAGCTCAGGAGTGGGGATGCTGGAGGGTCAGGAGCACTCAGAGAAACACAAGATTAGAAGCCACAGCAGAGTCCTAAGGTTAAAAGGTGGATTCCTCAAACGGCACAGGTGGGATCTAATAAAACCAGTCTACAAGCAGTAAGGCCAAACACTCTGGACTCAAAATCTTGTTGACGGGGCCGTTCTGGGGAGATCTGTGATTTGAGGTCAAGTTCTTTCAAACTCAGGCAAAAAGCCTTCTCTTGCTACTGACTGCCCAGGCCTTTCCCATCCCTGACAAGAGATAGGGACAGGTGTGTTGGGTGGAGTCCTACGGCTTCAGGCAGGAGAGCACCGGGCACCGATCTTTCCCAGGAGAAGCTTTAGTGCATGGTGAAAACACAGAGCTCTTCCAACACAGAGCCCTGGGGTGGGGGGGTTGGAATGCTGGCTTCTCCAGAGGCAGGGAGAGAAGACAAGCTAACATTTGGATTCCCTTTCTGCCGAGAACTCGGATTAGGCCCATATTAGTGTTGGCACTGGGCTCAACTGAGCATCTGGGTGGGGGTGGTTAGGGGTATCCACTGTCAAGGCCCCGTTAGCCAGGCACAACCACAGAGACACAGCCACGCCTAAGTCCTGGGTTAGTGGCGGCCACACGTGCACACACAGCTCCTTCCAGGAGGCCCTGCCAGGCAGGCAGCGCTGGCAGTGTGCTCACCCCCTGCCTCGCCTGTGGGCTCACTCTCTGCCCTACATCTCCTCTCAGCTCAACGGGGCACAGGGCCGCTTCGGCGTCCTCCTCACATGACCTGCGGAGAATTATTCATAGTTTAAGGTGCTCCCTGGGGCAGCTGCTCCCTCCGAGCAAGCGGGCCCAGCTTGCCTCCCTCCCTCTCTGCATTACCTGCCATACACCCAGGCATCTCTCTCGTCTGCACCACACAGAAGGCACCTGGCCGGGGGGGGGGGGGGGGGAGCGGCACTTGCCTTTTCACTGGAAGCCAAGCCGACCACCCCATGCCATCCAGGTCCTCTTGCCAGATGGTGCCAACCTCTACCACCTCTTTAAGGCACCAGAGGGAAATGGCCCGAGCTGAGCACAAGGTGTGCGGTCTTTGGGTTTTACTGTTTCGTTCATTACCACGTGACTGCGGTGCATGGCTCCCACAGTCTAGTCCAGAGGCACCGGGGGCTTCCACCGGGCTCAGTAACTCCATTCCATGAAGGACCTTCATGCTCTACCGACAAACTTGGGGACAAAATGCCAGCAACCTGGGCCTTATGCCTCTGGTAGCATCAACTTTGGCCGGTTAAGACCAGCCCTAAGAATCTGTGGCCCGTGAAAAAGACAACTGTAGGTGGGTCTAGGTCTGTCTCTGTGGGGGATCTGAATCTAACAGGGGCCTCAAGTCAAGAGGAAAGATGGGACCCCACACTGGTGACAGCACGCACTACGGGATGCCTCAGCGGAGCCTCTACTCGACCTTCCTTGACCTCGAGTCTTGCGTCAAGAGCCCCAACCTCACCGCACCCTTCCCCTGCCCCGGGGCCGGGGTCCCTTACCTTGGCGTGACCCGTGTGAGCTCGTCTGAGGGGTGCAGGATGCGGCAGGTGGTGAAGGTGAAGGTGGAGTTGGTCTGTGACATGCACTTCCCAGGATGGTGAGCTACCGGGGGGGGGGCAGGGAGGGAACAGAACATAGTCCTCAAATCCACACAAACCCATGAGAACAGTCAAATTCCAGCATGGCTCGCAGCGGCGGAAGAAGCGATGAGCTACCTTGTGAACTGGATCTGGGCAAGGAAGGTGTGATGCCGGCGTTCTGGATGGCAGAATCCAGAATCCAGCCTGGAGCACTGGCGTGCAGCGCAACCAGTTCCCGCTTCCGACCCAGTCCAGACAGGGTTCCCCATCGGCGTTCTCTGGCCAGTAGTGGATCCAGTTTGAGGAGCTAATGAGCCTGTAGGGCGGGGGGTAATTTGGTTTCCCTCCTCAGGGGTCAGAATCGGCTTCCTTCTCGTGGGGCTTCACACTTCTTTTCACTGGCAAACAGGTGCCAAGTTCTGCCAAGGAGATGGGAAAGGTGCGGGGCAGGGAAGAGCCTTGCCACCTGGAAACAGGGCAAGGCTCGCACGGCTCCCTTTCCAGATTACATGGAAAGGGGCTTAGGGAAGCTGGCTCCACTACTGTGTATCGGTGGTGGGCAGGGGTCGGGGGAGATGGGGCCTCAGCTGCCTCAGCAACAGGGTGGTAAGACTCCCAAAGCCTGCGGCTGTCTTCAGCCCTAGGATCAGGTGTGGTCTGATGCACTCTAGTGCGTGCAGCCCCTATCCCGTAGGCAACTGTCCTGGCCTCTCCAGGATGTCTGATTTCTAATGAAAATGAGACAGCCACCAGCTGTCCTCAAGTTATTTCCTTTTAAAGCTCTAAAGCGCTGTTGTTCAGGCAGCTGAAGACTAGGATTTGGAGCAAAGTAAATCACAGAAGCGTTAGGACCGTGCGTCAGGAAGCTGGCAAATGGTAAAGTGATGAGTGACAGTCTACAGGAGACATCATGATTGTAGAGGTCACCCTCATTCATAACTCATAATGCTAAAAAAAAAAAAAAAAAAAAAGGAAAGGGGGGGGAGATGCTGCTCTGAATAGCATGCACAGTGAGGTACTGGGACACACACACCCCCCGCCCGCCCAGCCCGCCGCCCCTGCAGCAGCTCAGCCCCCAGAGACCTCTTGGGGGGGAAACGCATTTGGTTCTCAGATGCCATGAGCACTCTGAAGATTCAGGAAGCTGTGAATGAGAATCTTCTAGCTCATTATGGCCACTTTTCTCTTGGATTTGACAAAAAGGAAATGGAAAACAAAACAGAAGAGACCGCTGCCCTAAACCTACAGATCCACACACAGCCGACTGTGTCTTTAAAAAACAAAAACAAAAACAAAAAAACCCAGAACCAGATGAAACAAAAAATGTTGGAGACGGGCAAACTGAAGGCAGGCAGGACAAAGCCAGAGCACAAAACCGGTGGCAGTGAGTAGACGTACAGCGTAAGGCTGCTTTGCCCCAATTGTTCTAGTCCAGCCCATCTTGCTGGGTCCAGGCAGGTGCCCGTGGTCCCTGGGTGGCAGCCAGCACCCCAGCCACCAGAGTAAACTCGCAGCCACACAGAGTGCCAGGCAGAGCAGGAAGGGGGAAAAAAACACACATGGAAACAGGCTTTATGAATCTTTGTTTCTCAACCAATAAATGGGATGACTTAGGAACTCAGGCAACTGGAAAACTGTTGCAAACAAAACAAAAATGGAATAAGCTATGAAGAAAAGGCAACCGAACAATCACGATTCTCTGACTGCAATAAGGTCTAGCAACAAAAGCAACAAAAAGCCTGAGAGAAGCGTCCCAAATAACCAGCGTGAGAGGTTATTTGGGAGGGAGGGAGGAAAGAAAAATGCAGTAAAGAGAGGTAACTAAGAACAGTGGAAAGAGAGAACCTTACAAATAAGTCAAAAGCGAGGCTGATTTAAAAGTAGGAGTGTACCCCCTTTAAACACGTGGCCAGAATATCCAACCAAAAGGTACCAAAGGCCCCCTCCTCCTCCACCCCATCACCCATGGGATCTTGGATTGCAACAGGTAGCGCAAGATGGACATTTTCAGGACACGGTTGCATCAACAGAAGCAAAACCCATCGGAAGCAAATGGGTTTTGGGGGTAGGAAAAGGCTGCTAAAATTCAGAAGTCATCATTCCCCGGAAGCCACAGAGAGGAGGATCAACAGGAATCGAGAGCACCAAGCCAGAGGTTCGGCCCCTCCGCAATACCACTGGGACGCCTGGCCCCGCCAGCTCTCCGCACGTCACCACTGCCCGCCGGGCTGCTGCGGCGTTTCCCTTCCTTGGGACACAACACAGAGACAGTGAGTCGCCCGAGGCCCTTTGAGCTCACCACCCAGCAGCTGCAGGCTGATTCCTAACACCCTGCCTGCAGGAGTGAGCGATTTCTCCAAGCAAGACGCACCAGATGCCTTCTCAGCAGGGACAGGAGGCTCGGGGTGAGGGCTCCCTGCTCCAGTGCCCCGTCCCCACAGTGCACCAAAGCCCTGCTTCACATGCTGGGTGTTCACCTCCTGCTGCCCACTTGGGGCCTCCAAGGAATGGGGTTTCTTGGATTTAATACTCCGGCTTCCTACTTCCATCCTTTTTTCTTGGTCTGGACTATGGGGCCCCGTGGTGTTGTGAGCAGAGAGTATTTAACGGGTTAGAGTAGTCACACTGGAAAGGGCTTCCATCAAGCATCCCCTAGTCCTACATATTTAAAAAAATTTTTTTAAATATTATTTTTTAATCCTACATTATTTTTGTCTGTTCCTTTCCCACCAGGTTCTGACACTAGTACAAAATCCGAATCTATCGCCAAGAACCTATAAATTTAGTTAATCCTTGATTATTCAAGATCTTCTGTGTTGGTGAACTACATACAGGTGCCTAACATGCAGTCGTTTTTTTTGTTTGTTTGTTTGTTTTTTGTTTTTTTTTCTGAACACAGCACACACAAGCACACTCCTTCAGCTACCTGCAGGCTGGGGCATAGGAAGGCTTTTGAAGGACAAGGGTCACCCTGCTCGCTTGCTCTCTGAGCAGACCCTGTGCATGTTCTTCCTGGGGCAGGTGCACTTGGTAAATGGTTCTGATGGGCTGTGCTCCTCTGGGGGGCGCAGGGTGCTCAGTATTGATTGGAAACTGGGTGCCTGGGATCTTGCTGCTGCAGCCACTCATGGGGGTGCCCTGACGGGGCCCACAGTCTCCAGAGAGCTGGGGCCGCCTCCCTGGATGGCCCTGAGACTATACTGGGGGTTATCTGCAAGTGTGCTATGCAGATCTGGATGATTGCAGGGCCGCCTGCTCTAATTGTGAGGAGAGAAAAGGAGCACAGACAAGGTGGGGTTGCTCTGGTGAGGACCTGAAGCCTGACGGAAACTACCAGCCTCTCCCATCCACATGATGTGATTCGGATATACCAACTCATGCATCTCAGTCAATCCCAATGGCACATTCCATCCCCCATCCACAGGGAAGGGAAGAACTGAAACTCGCCCCACTAAAAGTCAGCATGGCATCTAGTCCTTGAAAGAACCCTTAGATGAGCCCACACAGATGCCAAAGAGTATGCCTGCACCTGGAGATTTCTAGCGGAGTTGCAAAATACACATACATCCATGCGAGGCTGCTTCAAAGGGGCTCTCTGAGGATGGAGAAACCTGGCCACACCACACCCCCAGGCTGTTTTTTGCTAACATAAACAACTTCTTGAAAGTCAAAATTACAAACACCTCTCTAAATCTTGGAAAAAGAGGGCTGTCTTTATGATGCATTGAACGTTTTCCATAGTCTCTTTCCCCTTTTCATGGGAAGCGGCCAAACCTGTGTAAAATGAACAAAATGCCTGACAATTTCCTTTTCTTAACTTAAACACCTAGGGTGAAGCTGAGGTCACATGATTTAGATCTGCTTTGCAATTTCTATGAACTCATTAGCCAACACACACACACACACACACACACACACATCTTCTCTCTTCCCCCCCCTCCACCCTGCCCCCTAAGGTTCCAGAAGCTTCCACCACATCAATAATGGTACCCATGGGCTGGCCTTTTCCATCCAAGCCAAACCAAACCCACTGAAAACAGAAGCCACTGTCCATCCAGTTTAAGATTGTGGCTTGAACTAAGAGCATCCATACCTTTTGTCTTTTTGTCTTGACCTTTTGACTAGCTTCTAACAACTTTGTTACTTTTTATTCAAAGAGTAATCATATTGGGGGAGGGGGGAGGATGTGTCTTTACCTGTCAGTTACTTTCCCATTTCTTAAAAAAGGCAAAAGCAAGGCTTCTGAATTATTCCTAAAAGACTAAAATGTCAGGACACAGAAAAATGCTTTAAAGACTTTTCCTGTCACTTCTTTATATAACTCTGCCCATTAATTTTTCTGGGGGAAAAAAAAAAGTTCCATGATGAGTGCACGTGGGAAAAGCTTCATAATGCCTTTGTGTACCCTGTGCCTCATCAATAATATCAGTATTGCATCTGGGCTTCATGTGGCTCTAATAAGAGTTTTCCTCTGGGGGATGGAAGCCAAAAGTTTCTAAATACAGTACTGTCGTTTTCACCCTTTAAAAAAACAGAAGATAAAAGTGATTTTAAGCCAAACAATGTTGCAGAAGTGCAACATTTCTTAAACCCTTAGTTCCAGGCTGAACATGGACCTGCTTACTCTCCTTCTCTGCCTCTTAAGCATTTCTTCAACATGGCTCTCGTCTGCTCCTAGAGCTCAACAGGGACCCCCGAGCCCCTGATGCAGACCTGGGCCTGCAGGCCCTGGGAGGATTCTATCACAGATTTGTGAACTACACAAGATCTTCTTCTGGTTTCCATACAACTTATTTTTGGTTCCTACAAAATTAAAACAATTAAAAGTCAATTTTGCCCACTGTGCCAAGCTGTCTATTCCCTGTTTCATCTAAGAAGTATGTGATTTAACAGATGAACACTCTAACAGTGTCATGCAGAGAGGGGCAGAAATTCTCCACAAGTGGCCCCTGAAATATGTTCTGGAGAAAGATTTTTTTTTTTTAATGTGGTTAAAATGTCAAAGGGACAAAATGCAAAAGTCTCTTTGGATCCTGTGGCTGCCAACAAAGCTGGACCCTACACCCTGTCCTCTTGTCCCTCCTGTGGCAGACGTCCACCGGCGTGGGGAGCTGGTCTGGCCAAGCTGCACCGGAGACCCACCCCTGCCCAAGACCATCCAAGCCAGTTCAGGAGCGCGCTTCCCCCACCCGCCTCTTGGCGGTGCTGCTGGACCGCTCATCCCGCCGCCGATGCCCACTGCAGTGATCCCTCCTCGGAGGAGAAGTGTCCAACTGCGCACAGTCCTTTGTGGTCCATGGGGGTGCTCCTGGAGCACAGGAGCACCCTCCTGTGGTCTTCAGAGGTGACGCTGCCATGGAGAGAGTGCTTGCGAAGAGCAAGCTTGTTCAGGACACAGTAGGTGGGGTTGACTCCAGCTGTTGGTCTGGAAGGAGTCAATGACCTCTCTTCATTCATTTTCCCACTTCCAGGTCGCAGTGGGCCTGTTTCATGCACTAGTTTTATAGGTATCCCGAGGCAAGAGCACGGGGCCTTCCTTAGCATCACCTAACACAGGTGGGTGTGAGCCGACCATCTGCCTGTGCACAAGGACCCAACTTTTGCAACCGCTGCAGATAGAGGGCTGGATTGGAACATCTTCCCATCAGAGTGGGAACGCGCGGTCCACTCTCTCCGTGGAGACAAATGCGAACCTTTCCCACAGCTGAGGGTCTGGGAATCGGAGGGACCCGGCTTGCCTTCCAGACCCATCGGGCCCCGCTTGGGTTCTGGGACAGAAAGGAGACAGTGCAGCTGTGAGGCTCTGCTCCAACCCACTCCTGGCCAGCCCAGGCGCTGGAGAAATACTCCGCTGGCCACAGTGGCACTCTGGCTCCCTTCCTCCATGAGCTCTTCCTTCTCTTGCCTTGCTCAGTAGCTGCTCCTGAACAGAACCTGGACCTATGTACCAAGCAAGGTCACTACAGAAGTTAATTCCTGGCCTTTGCCAGCTATGCTGGGGCAGGGTGGGGGAGGGGGGAGAGCAAGTCCATGTGCTGCACCTTCAGGGGATTTTTCAACGGCTATTTGACCAAATGTGATTTTTGCCTTCAACACTTACTTTTGCACCTGCCCCAATGAAGATACAGCTCCACTGTGGCACCGCTGCCAGACAGGCAGCCGTGATTGCTACGAGCCTCCTTTCAGTTACTCCCCCACCTGAGTGGCCTTCATGGGTAGGACTATGAAAATCAACTGACCTTCACTTTCTTCTATGTTGCGCTAATCCTACTTCTTTCTTTCCTTGAAGGATCCTGGCTGGCATCCAAAATAATTCAACTACACTGTCCAACCAACCATCTACCAATGTAACTGTAGGACTTCAAAACTCTGATCTTAATCCTTTCCCACATGTTGGCTCTTCCCTCCACATAAATACCTAAAATTCAGAACACGGACAGTATGAGATAATGACTATTCATAATAAATTACACTTTCTATGTGAGTTAATACATAAAACATCACTGAAAAGTAAAACTGTAATCTAAAAATTGTTTTAAATAATCCATTTTAATCATCTAAATTATTTACAAATATAAAAAAGAAATCGTGCTTTTTAAGATATGGGATTATAGAAATCAGCCAATAATGATACAATACATTAAAATATATTAGTAGGGTTGTTTTTTTTTCAGTACTCAGAGCTTTTTCTCTGTGAGCTAGTATGTTCTAGACAAAAGTGCCTAATATATAAGTCTCCCCAGTTTCCTTCCAGAGTCTCAGTTGCAAGAAAAAAGGCAAAGCCTCTGTCTTCAAAGTTCCTCCCTACACAGTATTCCCAGATGGTAGCTTCTGGGACTGTGCTGTCTGGCAACAGAAAAGCCTAAACATATCAAAGGTAGACTAAGGCAGGGACGAAACCAGCCCAGACACAAATCCCAGGACAGGCAATGGCCCAGTCCTCCCTGCTGAAGCTTGTCTATTTACCTGTGACTCCAGGATTATGTACATAGTGCCACTCAGGGGTCGCACAGGGGTGATTTACGATTTAGAGTGACAGGTTTCTTACCTTCCAGTAATCAAAAGGGTCCTTTTACTCCCAGAAGGGAAAGAAAAGAGCGATGTCACTGTTCCAAACCACTGATCCCCTCTGTGCTGAGCTTTTAACAAGTCTGACCAAGAACAAGCCCAAAAGAACTCTTGTCTAAATGATCAGGCCCTTCCTAAGTTACCTTCAGCAATCTACAGAATTCTTTTCCATCACATACTTCTAACCTGGGGCTAAGTTCCAACTCTAGATTGGTGTGTCTCTCCTCAAAGCTGCTGGGATGAATTTGCTGCAGGTTTGAGGAAGGAGGGAAGAAGCAATAAATATGAATGTGTCTTTGTTTAATGTAAGGAAAGTGGTCAGGACTTATGTCATAATTGGGCTCTCCCTCTAATTTCTGAGGGAAGTTCTTAGCTGACTTGAGGTTAAGTTTTTTTCTTTCTGAATAACTTCTTGAAGACACACCTAATGCTGCTTCTTTAAGCCTAGAGCGTTCACCTTCTGGTCCACCTGTAGGACTGCAGGGAGGGGTCATCGCCCTTGACATGATTCCTATTCTTTCAGTCACAACGCTCGCAGACTCCGTGTTTCCCGTACCACTGTCTGCCTTCCAGAAGGTCGGAGAACAAAGGGAAGTCACGATACCACAGCTGGTTTCCCTTCCTTAAGTGTGAAGATATTAAATAAAACTCATTTTCATTCCCGTGCAAGCTTAATCTGGTAACTTATTTGGTAAAAAATAAATGAATAAACCATAAGCTTATTTGATAAACCAATCCTTTTTACTTGGTGATATCTCTAAAGTTTATGTCAAAGGAAAAAGAAAAGTTGGCCCCAAATAAAGTCCCTTAGCAGGGAGGCACCACCATGCACCTCAGCTCTACCCTGTCCTGTCCTTCACAGCAGGAGGGCAGCCTTTGTGAACCAAAGTTATGAATCACCAAGACACATGTCCTCTCCTCAAGTCTAGTGACTCCAAGATGCCATTGGGATGACAGCATGGGACGAATTCATCTTTTTCTGAGTCTCTGCCCTGATTCCACAAGAGAGTTTCCTTGTCTTCTCAGCATTGTGGCTAGGGCGGGGCGGGGGGGGGGGCAGGAAGTCTGGGGCAAATGGTAACCACATGACCCCTGTGGTCCTGGTGCCCTGAGCCCAAACTATTTCATCTCAGTGTCGCCTAGGGTATAATTCTGCAAACTCATGATCCCATCTTTAATGGGGTAGCAGGGGGCAGGTGATCAGCTAGAACTCTTCTCCGGGTTCATCTGGGGTCCTCTCTGGAAAAGCTTACTGACATTCTCCTTGGGTTTGTTGGGTTAAGGAGTATTGCTAAAATGCTTTGAAAAATCCCCTTTGAACACATGCATAAGCTGGAGAGAAAAATGCATATACCTTCATTGAAGTTAGAAATGGAGGAAAAGACTGATTTATCTCAGTGTTGTCTGAAATCCTGAACACTTTCGGGGCTTCTTCCTATTTTGATGCTCCTCATAGGGAACAGATTCTCTCCCCTGGCACTCTACTCATTTCCCCTTAAGATGCCCAACTCTGCTCAGCTTAGTTTGGAAATCACCGTGGGACTCGGGAACCTGCCCCCCCAGACTCGGGGAGAGACCCACAGCAGAAGCAGGGGAGGTGACGGGCGGGGGGGGGGGGGGGGGCCAACAATCCACTTCTTTTTAGCAGCCTTTCCTGCTCCCCGGTCAGGAGCCCTGCTGGGCCATGCACCTCCCAGATGGGCGAGGAGCTATACCCACTCGTTACATCAGACACTATGGGGGCATCAGACTCTGCGTTACACAACAGAACTGCACGATGGGAAGCTGTGATCATCACCCACACAGACGAGCGGAAGCTACAGACAGAGAGCCACTACGGATGGTGCTCGGGACAGAGGTGAGAATGGCCCAGAACTCGGCCTCCGGTGAAGATGCCAGGTTCACAGGACTTATCGGGGTGCCCTCACCAGACCCCTCCTCCTCCTCCTTCTGCTCGGCCGCTGGCGGCTCCTGCATCTCCTCTGGGAAAGCCTGAGGCCGGCGTGGGAAACTTCTGCTGCCTGAGACAGTCTCGCGTGCTCGGGACCCCTCACCTGAGGTCTCTGGGTGCTGAACTGGCGTGGAGGTAGCTAGGCCCGGGAGGGAAATGTGGTCACCTGTGTCATCTTCCTCAAAGTCGTTAAGGCAGTACACTTCATCCAGGTCAACGTCTAGTGTCCGGAAGCCCTTGGTGACCACACCGGGCCGGGGGTCCAGGATGCCCCCTAGGTGGGGCTGGGCCAACTGCTGCCAGTGGTGAAGGGTGGCAGAGCCTTGCAGGAGAAAGGGCAGAGAGGGAGGGGGACAGGGAGGAGAGAGGGTTAGGACGGACGTCTGAGCGGACAGCGGGCACCACCCCCGGAGCGTGGAACCCTACCCCTGGCAGGATCTGAGCCCGGCCGGTGAACTCTGGCAGGGACGCCTGCAGAGTGGCCCCGGCCACCATACCACAGGGGCTGATAACCCGCCATGCCTGGGAGGGGCACCCATTCAAGGAATCCCAAGCGAATCTTTTTCACAAAGTGAAACTAATACCGTCTGGTGTGGCAAGGATATCTGGGGACTAACTATTTTAGTCAAGCAAGGTCGATCCCCAGATCCAACACCTCATCCATGTAGGAGACCCAGCAGAGGAAAAAGAAGCGAGACAAGTACAAAAAGGGGGTGTCTGGGTACCGAATCTGTGCCAAGTACCCATGGCCGGGGACAGGGAAGACGCAAGCCCAGGCAGCGTAAGACAATTTGGAACTGATCCCGGGATGCACAAGATACAAGCAAAAGGAAATGAGAGTCACCCACACGACTATGGCCTCTTTTACTTATTAGGGTTTGTCTTCTGGCAGCAACCCTGAGAGGCTGCAGGTTGGGGAGACGGAATGGGGCTAGCCAGGTGTGATCGACAAGCATGGAAGTCCACACAGAGGTCTGAAGCAGAGGAGCAGATCTCCTCAGTGACACCAGATCCCGGGACTCAGATGACATCGTGCAAGGTCTGTAATAACACCGAAGCGTGTCCCTGAGCACCTCGAGGGTGTCACAGTGGCTCAGAGAGAGAAACGTTCCAAGTACCAGTATGCCTCACAACCTGGGTCGAGAAGCAGATTTACTAAGGAACATCTTAGAACCTTAAGTATGTTGCTGCATCCTGGGATTCTACCCAGCCCATTTGTCAGAGCAACCCTTTTTTCCTTTGGGACACTTCTTAAACCTGGCATGGCCCGGGGATGATGACCCTTGAGGTTGGGTGTCTGTCCCCATTCTACAGATAAATTAGTCAGCCACACAAATGCCTAACTTTGAGAGCAGTTCTCAGGCGTGGGAAAGCAAGAGCCTTCCCACATGAATGATTCCCAGTTACCGCTGGTTTACCAGAGGAGTCCTCTGTGCGGCACGCTGCCCCAGGGCATGTCAGACAGGGAAGCCGGGGCGCCAGGAACCGGCAGCTCAGGAAACAAGAGAAGAGAGAAGGAAACGATGGTAGGTGTTGGGGTTGGGGGCCGGTGCAGGAACGTGAGTGAGATCCAGACAACCCCTTCCGCAGGAGCCCCTGACCCTCTGGTGTACCCAGTGAGCATGCGGCCCCCAACCCACTGCCGGGAAGGAGCTTCCCGGGGAGCAGCCTCAGCCAAAGGGTCTTGAAGGGATCTTGTAAGTGGGCAAGTTCACACACACTTTAAGCTGCACATGCTGCCAGTGATGTTTAGGGAACCCCCAGATACCCACTCAGAGGTCTGTCCCAGGTTTAAGTGGGTACAAGTACAACCTTCACCTGAAGCTACCGTATATAAATAGCAAATACACCACACGCAGAAGAAACATGGTAGCACAACAAATACTGTCCTCTCATGACGTGCTGAGATTAGAGCGGTGGTTCTCAACTAGGGGATGATCTTGTCCCACACATTCGGTAAACGAATGGAGACATTTCCAGTTGTCACCATTGTGGGGAAGGAGGGAGCGCTAATGGCATCGAACGGGAAGGGGCAGGGACAGGGATGCTGGGTCCCACAATGCCCAGGGCAGGCCCCCACCCACCAAGTGATCCGGCCCTGGATGTCAGCAGGGCTGAGATGGAGACACCCAGACCTAGAGCTGTGGTCCTCTGGTGTCGGATCTCGGGAGAACCCGGAGGAGCTCAGGTGCAAGCGGCCAGCGCTCGGCAGACATGCTCAAGCCACTGGGGCCTCAGCAGCTTTTGTTTTTCTTTTTTTTTTTTTTTTTTTTTTAGCACCTTTTCTTTTAAAGTTACCCTGATTGAGCGGCTGGTGTTACATCAACTCCCAGCTCAGAAGCACTCGATGAGGAGACTGAGGATCACTCAAGTTAGAGAATTTTCCCAAGTCCCTGAGCAGTGGCAGCCCTGAAGTCCAGGTCCCTTGAGTAAGCTCACACTGCCTGCTCCCCAGCCCATGTTCACCTGCCCCCCAGCCCACGTTCACCTGCCCCCCCCAGCCCACGTTCACCTGCCCCCCAGCCCACGTTCATGGGTCTGTAAAGAAGCAAGGACCTCCGAGCTCTGGCCGGGAACCCCCACCAACTGAGAAGCACCCATGGTGGGCAGTAAACATTCTAGGTGGCCATCCAAGGCCGGCCAGGAGGCACACACACTATAGCTGATGGGATTTCTCAAGACCCCCTGGAGACCCCCATTCATGATCCATAATGAGGCCCCTGTTCATGTGGTCATCAGATGCCCAGGCACATTCCTGGCAAAAATACTGCACTGGGGAGAAGTCTTAACATGGCACCGGGACATCCAGCTTCGGACACACATGCTGGTCTCACGAGGATGATGGCAAATGACTAAGTATGGTGTGGTCAGATCAACTCTACTTTTGGGAGGGGAGGAAAGGGAGAGATGACAGACACGGGGAAGTGAGGAACTATGTCTGTAGTGCCAGAGGTCCTCACCCTTCTGAAGGGGGCTGAGAGGTTTACAGTGCCCAGGGAAAGAAAGAAGTCAGGGAGGCCCGAGGTCTGGGCCCAGACACCAGTCCCACGGGCCTCCATCCTCCCTCTGTTCAGCAGACAACCCTCATCTCTCCCCACCCCCGGCACGGGCTCGAGAGAGTAATATTGCTGTTTGGAGTTCAAGATGCTACACAAGTACATGAGATTATCTGCCTTCCCTGAACACGCAGAGCCAAGGGAGTTGAGTTGAGATCACAATGGAGAGATTATGCTGGAAGATGCATGGTACTTGGATTCTTACCCCCTGCCTTGGGGACCCCTTACTCACGAAGAGCCAACCTTTACTGAGCATTAACCTGGTGTCAGAGCCTGTACTTAGTAACTCGATCATAACCCTGTTGTCCTCATTTTACAGATAAGGACATGGAGCTCAGGGCGGTCAGGCAACTTGCCAGAGGCTGCACAGCTGGCAGGTGGCTAATCTGGGTTCAAACCCATGCTGGCTCCAGTGTCTGTCCTCTTAACCATATACACCTTCTCCGGGTCAGCAGTGAGGGGGCCTCCTGGGTGTGTGTCTCAGAAATCAGGGCAGTAAAACACCCGACTGGCTTTTTCAATCCTCATACAGGTGTCTTCCATCCTATAAAAGTGAATATTGGCCAAAGCCCCCACAGCCCTGTTATCTGAGTTACATCAGGCTGGGGGGCCCACATATCGTTTCCATTCCCAACTGGTTCTAAGGCCCCAAGAGGGTTTCTCGAGTCCAGGACCCAGGCAAAATAGCTCACACCTCACTTGCTCCCACTGCCACTGCCAGCACCACCACGTAGGAATCCGACCGATCCCCTGACTGCCTGAGGTACAAGATGGAAGCACAGATTAAAAATTAAGGATGAACGGCACCTTATTCAGAGCCTTGGCTGCCTCTTTCCTACTCCCACTGCCCCCCCTCAACCCCCGCAAGCCTGGCTTCCTTTATTTGTCAAGCACAAAGCAGGAGAATCACCGCACTGTGAGATACTTCCCATGACCAGCCCCTCCCTCCCACCCACAAGAAAAGGAGGCTGGGGTCAGGGAAAGAGGAGGCTTCATGCTCCTAGCTGGCACCAAGATGAAGCTCTATGAAACAAGGATGCGGCCAGCAGGGAACACAGTCATGGTCCCCATGCCTTTCCCAGTTTGCTTTCCTTCTACATCTCACTGTTCTAACTGAAAGCTGTGATATGATCAAAGGAGAAGGAAACCAAATCCATCTATGTCACAGGAGTACCCGGGGCTTGGAAGTTTAGACCTAACCTGCTGGACAATGTCTAGCTTAGCTAAGAAGTGTATGCTTTCAACTAATTACATGTGAACTTATTTACTGGGAAATACCCTCTTGATTTTAATTATCCACAAAGAAAGAGCAAACAATACAGGGGGGAAAATACTGCCAGAGTCATCTTTGTCATGCAGATCTTTGTCAAGGAGTCTGAGAAGTTCACCTGCACTTCACCTGCTTAAACTCCTAGGGTAAGAGGAAGGGGTAAGAGTACTGACCTTAAACACCTAGCTCGGCTACTTCGGCTGACATCAACAAGCAGATACCAGGATGCTTTAAATGGGGAAGGGAGACGCAGAGGGAAGACCCAAACTGGCTATCTACAATCCCAGCCAACGCTCTCCAGGGACCTCATCCCGGCACACTGACCTGAGCCACTGAAGATCAAGGATATGGGCTTCTAAGTGGGCCAACGGGAAAGGATGGTATGAAAACATGGCCGTGGCACAGTGCTGATCTGGGTTCTCAACACCCTTTAGACTTGAACTGCTGGGACATGGCAACTTTGGGGAACCTAAGTTTTAATTAGCACCTCTTAGGTGCCAGGCATAATCACATTTACTCTTGACAATTTTGTGTGGCAGATGTAAGCCTTATTTCACAAGTCAGAGAACGGGACTCAAAAGGGTCACTTCTCTTCTGCCACAGTTGGAGCTGCATTGAACCCAGTGCCAGGCAGACTTCTGTGTCAGCACTCCATCTCGTCAAATTAAACAAGGTAATACAAAAAAAATTGTGGAGGCAAGGAAAAAAGAAAATATTGATTGTATGTGAAATAGCTGAGAAGTATGAGAACTACAAAACAGAGGAGAGGAATCTCTAGCACAAGGATGCATTACAGTCCATAGTGATACAACATGACTTCTTAACAGCAGTGATTTAACCTCCTGGTGAGAAGGGTACTGTAGATGAAACTGATCTAGCACACCTCAAGGGATTTTCTCTTCTTCTAGTAACACAAAAAATACTGCTAAGTCACAAGATTAAAAGGAAAAACAAAAGATGAATTGGTTGAAATAAATTTTTAAAAATCTTTTCCTGCAATATGCTTGGAAAATGAATCCAAAGACATATTCTTAGATGATCTAATGAAACATAAAGTCAAATACAGAAACCAGACAAAATAGAGATGATAAATTCCAATGAGCTTTAAGAGACAAAGGAGAGAAAAAGAAAAGAAAGGCAGAAAGTAAAATTGCAGAAATGAAAGATTTTATTGAAAGAAAAACAGACATAATTATGGATCAGGAAACAATCACCAAGCTCACAACTGAATAAACAATTAAAAACAGAACAAGCCATCCCTTTTCTGAAATCTAATAAGGGTCTGAATTATACAATTAAAAAATAATTCTGAAGAAAGAATGTCAGCCCACCCTCTTCCTAGCTCTGGAGACTACAGGACCCAGCATGTCTTGGGTCTTTAACAAGCACACCCTCATTTTACACCACACATTCTCAACAGGTTCTTACAGGATAAAAAGAATCCTACCCTCTTTAGGCAGAGAGCAAAGCTCTAACACATCAACAGTGTATCTGTGGTAGCGAATTGCAGGAATGAGTAACTATCGATTATATGTCTAAAATGACTCTTTAAGAATATAGGTCTAACATGGGACATACGGCCTTACAGAAATTCTGATTTGACTTTGCATCAGAAATGTAACACGAATTCTAAAGTACCTTCTCACACTCACAGGGGTTTCCAAACTAAAGGTGTCAAAAATGAAAAATACAAACTCTCAGTGGCTCCTGACAGGGTTAAGTGGGTAATTAGAGGGAAGACATTTTTATAATACCTGGAAGAAAAAGCAAAGAACAAAGGTGAATTTTTTCTAGGAGTTTAACCATCTCGTGTCCCAATTTACTAAAAAGTAAATTGCCCCTGGGAAAGGCAGGCTTGAGGCGGTAAAGAGCTCGCTCACCTCCCTGACCACCCCCTTCTCGGCCCCCAGACTGTGGAGGTCTAGGCCTCTTGCTCAGAACCCACAGCACTGGAAGAAAGCCACACCCCCTGTGCTGGAAGATGGAAACAAAACATGAAAGCCAGTAATTGCAGATCGCTTTCAGGTGGTTCCTGAAATAACAACTTCTAGCATGTGCTCTGAACCCCTCCCTGACACCAGCATTTCTGAGAGGGGACAGCAAGAATTCCCTGCGCTTCTCAGACTCCTGGCATGACCTAATGAACTTTCTAGTACGTCAGCAGTGCCTTTGCCTCTCAAAAAGATGCTAACTTCTAAGGTTCCGGGTGCACAACAAAGAGAACTAGGAAACTGGCCTGAAGGCTTCGTTCCTTTCCTTTGGCCTAACTGGAGGAGGTCAGAGTCGGCCTGTGGCCGTCGTGCACACTCCCACACCTGCCCTGGGAGATGGAGGCCCAGGCTGAGTGCCACCATCAGAGGAACTCAAACCAGCAGCGGGGGAGGCTGTCCCGGAAGAAAAAGGAGTAGGCATGACAGAGGCTGCCCGCTTGCTGGTGGTGGATCAGGGACCAGAGGCGGTCGCCAAGGAGAGCGGAGAGGGGCCGAGGCCCCTGGTGATCACCTTCCAGCGGCTTCACGATCTGAAGTTTCTCGGGCAGGTAGGAGCGGCTGCTGAAGGACATGCCCGAGAAGCCGGTGAACTCGGAGAAGCGCGAGTGGGTGCCGAGGGACATGATGCTCTCCGTGGGCGTGAGGGAGCCGCTGAGCAGCTCGCCCTTCTCCGCCAGCTCCCTGAGCTTCCGCTCCTGCTCCTCCTCGAAGAACCTCCGCTCCGAGAGGTAGTTCTCCCGGCGGAGGGACAGCCGCCGCAGTGCCGTCTCCAGGTCGTGGGAGCCCGGAGTGCCCGGCGTCCCGGGCTTCTTGCTCCGCTCGTTGTTCCTGCGAGGAGGGAGATGGGGCTGAGAGAGGGCGGGCGCCATGCAGCGTAGAGTGCATGGCTCGAGACAGTCCTTACTGCTAGGTGGCCAGGGGTGCACGTGTTTCCTGGTGGCCATAGGATCTTTGCTAGGGAAGCCCACAAGGCAAGCAGCAGAAATTTAGGCAGAACTGGAAAGGGACATGCCTACCGGGGGGGAACCTAGTTCCCTCTGTTGGGTGTTCTGCCCAGTGTGGGGAGAGCACTAAGGTGTAATGAAAATTAGCACAGACTATATAAAAAATTCCATCCCTAGCTACACCTCCCTCATGAGCCCTCAGGAAGACGACTTCTTCAGGCCGAAGTCCTAGTTACCAGAAGGATCACTGGTTCTAGGGGCATTTCTCTTTGTTCTTGAACTGAAAGAGCTGTTCTGATCAAGCAGTTCCCCTTGGAGCCAAGAGGTCAGAAGAACCAATCTCTCTGTCACAGAAAAAGGGTGTACAACACAGCTGACATCCCTGCGCGCGTGCGTGTGTGCGCGCGTGCAGCTGTGGGTCTGCGGGGCTTTGGGACACAGAGGGGCTGCCCACCACTGAGGAGGCCCCACCCCAGCAACAGGGCTGGGATGTGCGCCTTTTGCAGCAAACTGGATTCTGGTCACAAGTCAGAGCCTGAGTCCTCCTCAGCCTTCCAAACACCCAAGCTACAGAGGGGTCCCTGAAACAAGGTCTATTCTGTAGCCCAACAGGAAAAAGTGACAGAAAATAATCACTTATCCCCCCTTCAGCATTTGATGGAAAGGCAGACTTCCTGTTGTGCCTCCTTCCACTGGTGAAAGTACCAGAATCAAGAATGAGTGCACACTCAGAGGTCCTGGCAAAACAGATTACAGAATGAAAGGTCTATACTTGTCAGGCAATTCTTTACCGGCCTCTCTCTTCTGTGGGCCAAACCTATCCTCCGTCCACACCACCTGTCTCCCAGACCCAAAGATTACAAACTCCCGGCCAGCTCACCCCAGGTCCTCGGACTCTGCTTCCAGGATGATGCTGTTGGTCTTGTTGTCCAGGACAACGTTGCCAACGTCACTGCCATAGAAGCTGGACCGGGGGGTGCTGACGCAGCTGGAGAGGAGGGAGTTCACGGCTGAGGACTGGTTGGAGCCTGGGATGTTCATGGGGGACGGGGTCAGAGACCTCTGCTTGACGACCTGGTTGATGTTTCTCACCGTCTCAAAGACTCGCTTCTGGTGCCTGGGGGTGGGCGGGGGGGAGAGGTGTGGAGAAGATGCACAACATCCATGAATAAACAAATGCAGGAATGACCGCGGAGTTCAACCTCCAGAAACTACCATCCGAGGGGCGAGAAAGGCAGCTGGCCCATGTGAGCCCCCCGCCCCCCCAAGCAACCTACCATCCCCTGCCTTCCATGTGTTTCTTAAGCCTGTTGGCTGGAAAGCAAGAGACTCAGTGCCCACTGAATTCAGGGCTCTACTTCATGGCTGTGTCCCAGAGGTGATGCTAGCAAGGGGATATTGCTTTTCTCTCCCTTAGGCTTGACCCACAAGTACAAATACTTAAGTAGGGCTTTTGTCTCCTGGCTACTTTTCCTCCGTCATGATGGTGCCTAGAATGCAAGGTCCAAGAGAGCAGAGTTCACTGCTCAGCACATAACAGGCCTCCATAAATATCTGTAGAATGAGTATTTGTTGACTGTTTATATATATATAAAAGCCAAACAAAATCTTAAACTTCTACAATGAGATGATAAATACCACAGGAATCTTTTTTAGAAACTGCTGTTTCTAAGAGTAGAACCTCCTTTTGATGTTCATTTGTTTCCACCCCCCGACCCCACCTTTTTTTTAAGAAGGGGAGAGAGACAGAGAAAGAGAATCCCAAGCAGGCTCCACGCCCAGTGCAGAGCCCAACACAGGGCTCCATCTCACCTCCCTGAGATCATGACCTGAGCTGTATCAAGAGCGGGATGCTTAACCGAGCCTCCCAGGCGTCCCCTTATGTGTTCCTTTTACAGGAGACAAAGGTAGGCACATTGCTATAAAGGCCACATCTTTCAGGGACGCATAAGGCTTCACACATGCACAGAGGCTCGGGGAGTCTGGTCACTCCCAGGATCCCATTTAAGTTCTGGCTATGGGCTTTGAGTACAGAAAATACACAGTGAAATCAGATCCACATACATCTGAGGAAACACCTCAGGGCCGGCCTAGCACAAGGTCTCATGTCAGGGAGAGAGCCCATAGGGGCCAGTATCGGTAAACATACCCAGAAAGGGCAGAAGCCTTGCATGCCCCCCTCAAAGAGCCCTCTGTATCTCCTACAGCATGTGATCTCTCTTTCTCTAACGGACATTAAACATTTCCAAGTATTGTTTTTCACTGAACGGAAAGATAAAACCAAGGGGTGGTATCAAGACAGGGCTGTATTAACAGATGGGAAACACAGCTCTCCTTACTCAACTTTCTAGAAGTTAGTAGAAGGCTTTAAAACCCAGGAAGAGGAGCTGGGGGATATATATGACTGTCTATGTGCTCTTATCTCCCTCAACCCGGACCCAAATCTGTGCAAGGACCACAGGGCCAGTGCCTGAAGCCCAGACGCTGCTGGTTTTGATGAGCACGGGGCGTGAGGTGGTCTCTGGAAAACTTAGAAGCAGGCCGTACGCGATGTCGGGAGACTCGGGCTCTTCCAGCTGCAGCTCCTTCCGCATCGTCCCCTCGATCTCCGCTGCCAAGGAGTCCTGAGAAAAGCCAGAGACACACGGAGTGAGCAGCAATTCAAGTCTCTGAAAGAGGCTCCCAGCTGGCTGGCCAGAGGAGTCTCAGGTGAGGTCTCAGAAGCCTGCAAACTGCCCTTCCGTGAGGCTGTCGGCACTCATCACTGCGGGGATCCCTGAGTGAGCAAGCCCCATGGCGGGTTCAGAATGGAGCAGTCCCCAATGGGCACTGAGCGGACAGCTCCTATGCTCCCCTGTGGCTGAGGATCTGAGAGCAAACCCCGTGTTCCCTTGGCCACACCATGAAGCTGTGGCTCTGCCTACAAGGAGAGGCAGGGAATTTGTGGAGGAGGGGCCCTGAGTTGTGAGCACTGTCATGTGAACCTCTGCTCTTGTGCCGCCCACTTCCCGTGCAAGGAAGGCTCCTCTCCCCACCAACGACCCAACGCCCACCCTCCTTTAGTGACCCGCTCCTACCTCGTTTCCACTACCAATCCTTCACTCCTCCCCCAAGAAAGACACCAAACACACGAAGTCCCGGCGAGTTCCCTGAACAGTGAGTTCACTTGGATCTTCCTCTAGCTAGGTTGTGGATTCTGTGGGTCAGGGGAAGGCCGGTCACAGATGGCTTCTCCCTTCTCAGATGGGCCAGGCCCCGAGCTGAGGCTCACTGATAAAGACTCCCTGATGAGCGGCCCCCATCCCTGAACGCCCCACCACTCCTTACCACCCGAGGTAGAGACTCACAGGCAACCCCACACACCGGCACAGGTCGGCGCCAACAGGAGGACCAGGTGTGTGCAGAAAAGCACCCGCTGGTGTCTCAGACAAGGACACCACCTAGGACAGCCTGAAGGGAAGAGCTAACTCTTTGCTAACCGAAGACCTCCTAAGATAAGAGGAATGTTCTTTCTGCACTGTGCACTGTGAAAGCCACGGGCCCGCAGGTGGCCATCGGGTGCTTGAAACATGACCAGTAACACTGGGAACCCGAATTCCCTGTGCTAATTCTAATGGATTTAACTTTACAGAGCCACTTGTGGCCAATGCCTTCCCAGCAGACAGAGCATGGGAACTCCAGAGTGCCCACCTCCACAGCCCCAAAGTCAAGGAGTGACGCTCCAGGCTGGAAGCTGGAACCTATTTATACATACATGATTTTATTTAGTAATTATTATGTACAGGTTGCCATTCGACATAACCCAAGTTGTAAAAGGCTTCCCTGGGTGAGCTTTTTTAAAAGATTTTATTTACTTATTTGATAGAGATCACAAGTAGGGAGAGAGGCAGGCAGAGGGAGAGGGGGAAGCAGGCTCCCCGCTGAACAGAGAGCCCAATGCGGGGCTCGATCCCAGGACCCTGAGACCATGACCTGAGCCGAAGGCAGAGGCTTTAACCCACGGAGCCACCCAGGCGCCCCTGGGTGAGCTTTTTAAAAGCCAGTTTACTTTTCTTTCTTTCTTTAAGATATTTATTTATTTATTTAAGAGAGAGAGAGAAACTGAGATAGTGAGAGAGCACAAGCAGGGAGGAGAGGGAGGAGCCCGATGCAGGGCTCGATCCCAGGACCCTGGGATCCTGATCTGAGCCGAAGGCAGAAGCTTAACTGACTGAGCCAGCCAGGCGCCCTGCAAGTTTCCTTTTCTTACTGCTGTAATTCACCATATAGTCTGCATTCAGAGTGCATTTCCTCTGCACGAAGAAAGGACCTTCATACAACTTAGGAGAGATGACATACCAAACGACTAATTTCAAGGCCATGCCTGGAAGAAATTGCAAGCTGGTTCTGTGCCTTTTTTGGCCCTGAGCCCCCTAGCAGTCTGGGTGGGGGAAGCCATGGACCCCTTCTCAGAACAATATCTTTAAGTGAATAAAGTAATTAAGACAAAAAGGAAGCCAGATATATTGAACTAGTCACTAGACTATTAATAACAACAATCGTGATACAGTAACACACACAACCTGGCTTCAGGCCTGGTAATTACTGCCACCTTGAAGTGGAGCTTAGCACGAACAGGACTTGGAGACATCTTATAACAGATAGCAGCAGCTGTGATCTCCACCGGTGACAAAGTCACAGGTGCTATTAACGCTGTGCCTTGGTGCCCGCCTTCATATGAGAAGGAAGCACTGTATACAATTAGGGATTAAGAGAAAAGATGTGCCCCTCCCTCAGGTTCATAGGCCTCCTGAGTCCTATCTGGGGATCCCCGATTGGGAGCTCCTGTCCAACGCAAGAGAGCTGGCAACGCACTCCTCGGGCAGAAACTGCTGCTCACGGTCTGATTCAGCAACTAGAGAGGCTGGGAGCAAGACTGGCAGATTTGGCCGTTCTGCTCCAGAAACACGGGCACAACACCACGGAGCACCGCAAATACCTTTAATACATCGTGCACTTTAAAAATAGCCATCCTCAAAACCGGAGGCCAGCTGTGCCAACGGCTCCAGGGAAAGACAAGTGAAAGCTCCATCTCAGCAAATACAAAAGCTGAGAATCTCTGCAGAAAAGCCCCAAACGCAGATTTTCAGTTTGACTTCACTATGTCACGGCTTTGTTTTAAAACAGGTCTGTCCCTGAGAGTGAGGAATGCGATGGAGGGCCTCCTAAGTGTATGGAAATAAGATGCCCCCAGGAGGCCACCGCGCCAAGGTGGGAAGCCAAGAAGAAGGGAAACTGAGGCAGGGAGCACACACTGCTACGTAGGCCAGTCTGAGCTGAGTGTCGTCGGCTCCAGATGGAGGAATCAGGGGGCACCGAATGTTCTTTGCTGCCTTTCCTGGGATTCCTGGACCACCAGTCTGCCCCTTGGAAAGCTATGTCATGTATCTCTCATTTTGGTTTCATTAGATGTAGTCAAGCTGAGAGAGAAAGAGTGTGTGTGTTCTAGCCTGAATTTGATATATAAAAGGAAAGAAGCTCACAATTTAGGAAAAGTGGGCCAGACAACTAGGCGGGGAGCGAGCAGTGTCAGTAACAGGGGTGGAGGGTGTACAGGGAAAGAGCCCTAAGGAAAGGCCAAATTCCAAAGGGACTGAGTGTCACAAACGTTGACACCGCCATCCACTCATATTCATTTGGGAGTGTTTCTCTCAAAAGTTCTCGTCTCCTCAAAGACTATGGTATTTCCTCAAACCACGAAACAGGACCTAAATATAAAAGGTCTTGGTCATTTGTTCTTTGGTCTGTTTGTCCACCCATCCAAATCTAGTAGCTACTACGCACGTACAATCCTGTAACACAAGCTCCGAGTAGATGGCAGAGTGTCCCAGAGAGGGATGGAGGAAAGGAGCAAAGAAGACATGGCCCCCGCCTTCAAGAGGCCTTAGTCTGACAGAAGAAGGTGCAGCGAGGAAGCTCACCAAGCATCATGGGGAAAGGCCAGCAGAGGAGGCCTGCCCAGTGCTGCTGAACCCCAGCAGGGAGGGGCTGACCTGGAAAATCCCCTTCTCAACCATGTCTCCCTAAACCCCAAGCATGAAACAGATCAGGCCAGAGCTACAAAATCAGATTGCGGGGGAAATCATTTTGTAGCAATGGAAACGCCCCTCCAGGTGGAGAGACAGACACTTTTTCAGGTCACAGACACTGAAAACCCCCAAGAGGATGACCAGGAAGCCTAGAAAGAACCAGCAGAACTGCATGGGCAACTTAAGAAATCTGGAATGCACTGTGAGCCTGAAACAGCTCATATTCTAGTACGGTTAGAAAAATAACAAGGTATGAATAAGATCTTCCAGACAGCTGAGGTTCCCATGAAATATATCCATTACGGACACGAGGAGAAAAAAAAAAAGACCGAGTCAGAGAGACGGCAAAGGAGAAGTGAGTCTGCCAAGGAGAAGTGAGTCTGCCGGGAGCGGGCTCGCGAGCCCCAGCTGCAGATCTGATCTACACAGTGGAAAGAGAAGCCAACCCACCGCACCTCCCCTCCAGACCCGCCTCTCTGCTGGGGCGCCCTGCAGCCCAGCAGGTGGGGAGCAAGGACCCAGAGTGGACGCTCACCATGGGGAACAGCCCGAGCGAGTGGTAGCGCCGGGATGTGGTGTTGGGCACGGTCTTGTTCCGGAGGTTCTTGAGCTCCTCCTGTGCCTCATGAAGCATCTCCATGCACTCGGCGTACTTGTCCTCCAGCTCGCGCAGCTGCGGGCACCGGAAAGGCATGCAGGGTCAGCACGGGGCTGCCCAGGGCCTCCAGGCCCGACCCCGAAGGGCCCTAGAGGCTCAGTCCGGCTCCCACTTGGGGCATGCTTCTAGCCTCCCGAGTCCTAATGCATGACCGAGATCACAGGCTTCCAGTGACGGGGTGTGTAAGTCACGGGGGTGAAAGGCATGGTACAGGAATCGCGCCAGTGGGACGGTAGGGGTGTCATGTGGTGACAGATGGGGCAACAGTGTGGTGACCACAGCATAATGTACAGAGGTGTCCCACCACTACGCTGTACCCCTAAAACTCCTGGAACCTTGTGCCAATGAGACCCAATAAAAAATGGTTATCTTTTTCAAAGCCAACACCCTCATTTCCAGCCACATCTGTGAATGGGCTCCTTTCCATGGCGAGCTCCGGGCCATTTCTCTCACCAGACATTGAACAGGAGCGGGCTGTGCAAGGCCTGGCCTCCTGGGTGCTCGCCAGCAGTGATGGGTGTCAGCGGGAATTTACCAGTAAGAACGGCTTTCGATTCAGAGTAAGGACAGCTAGCGAGGTGGACACGACCCACGGCCCGCCAGACGAAAGCTGAGCACCTTAACTGCAACGGGCCTGGGGAAAGGCGGGGGGGCAGGGCGGGGGGAGCCGCTCACCTCAGCCGTAAGCTGCCGCTGGGCATCCTTAGCGGCCCCCAGGTGCTGGACCAGCTCTTCATTTTCCACCGCGCACTGCAACAGGGCAAAGGCCCATCAACTTCTTCTCTAAGATACCTGGAAACGTCTGACTGCCTCTTATTACCTGGTCTGTTCCGATCCTATCACATTTCTACAGTGACACTTTTATGCCAGAGTCCCATTTTGTCTTTTCTGTAATTCTGAAGGCAGCCTTTCCTACATCCGTGTTCATGCTGGATGGCCCCCCATTCCCCCGCCACTACAGGCACAGCCCCTCCCCAGACGGGCTCCACCTTGAGCTTCTGGCAAAGGCCTGACGTGGGAAATGAAACTGTATTTGTTCTGTTCTTGCTGTCTTGCTGCTGCTCCAGCTTAAATCTATGGGGGATATGACCCTGCTGCGGGACACACCAGAGCGCACCATGTAAAAACAAACCCTAGACTAAAAAATTCATGAGTTAAATTCTAGAACTCTGGATCTACGATACTTTTCTTAATGAATTCTATTGATGTGCAGATTATTTTTAAGAGAGAGGTGGTTATAGGATGCCCTCCCCAGTTCAGGGTGACTAGTTCACTCTGCTGAACTTGCTAATAAGCCTTTTCTCCAAAGGGGCGGCATAGACACCTAAACTATGAGACCAAAGGGCCTAGTCTTCAGGGGCCAGTGCCATCTGCGGCAGCCAGAGAAACAGAAGCCTTACAGCTTTTGCCTTCTTCTGCAAGTCGACTATCTGTGACAGCAGGTGTGTGATCTCCTCCTGCTGGCGGGCAGCATCCTCAGTCTTCTTGGCCAGCTCCTCTGAGATACTGGCGATCTGCACATTGGCGTCCCCTTTCACCAAGAAATGACAACAAGAGAAAGTCAGACCCAGAGAGAATGGTTTCTTTGTGGTGTGCTCAAGAAAAGGCATCTTTGTTACCAGACAGGGGGAGGAGTGGAGAGGACAGTGAAGAAGGAACAGTGCCCGTTTTCCCGTACAGGCTCAGTCTGTCATAAGAAAGAGGCGTGGGGACCCAGCCCTGCTGACCAAAGCCGCCTCCCTTCCCAGAGAAAGTCAGACAGGCTTGGGGGTCAGCCAGGAGATGACTGCCCCACCACCCCATGCATCTGCCCGAATCCCCATGTTTGTGCATGAACGGGTCCACATCATTAACAGGAGCTCCCTGCTCCACCCTGTCCTAGAAGGAACTGCTACCGGCACAGTGTAATCCCCTGGAGTGTTTTCAACCCATATTCAGAGTCATAACTCATTTTACTAGATTAGAACACGGGGTGTGTTTCATTTGCTGAAACTCAAAATACTGTTTGCCCTTTTGTCTTAACTTGTAACCTTATGGTGGAGAGGGCGGGAGGAAGTACTTATTTGCAAAATGGAGAACTCTGGCCTCACCTTTCACCCATCAGTTATGAGAACCATAACTGGTTAGTGTTTGCACATCGGCAGGAGAACTCTGTAACTGGGCTTAACTTAGACTTCACATAACTCCAGTGTTCCAGTAGAAAGCCGGAATCAAACATCGTCTCAAGGAGAAATTAGGACAGTGTAAGACTGACAATCCAGTACCCAAATTTCTTATGAATCAGAGTGAAGGGTGCCATGCAAGACAAGGGGGTGGGGAGAGTGTCTCATCCCAATGATGGCAGTTACAGAAAGTAAAAAGAGGGGGTGGGGATGGAGCAAGAGGATCAGGCCATACTCAGTTCCTTCACGCAGTCGTTGACCAGCTGCTGTTCCTTCTCTTCGTAGGTGATGGTCTCCGTCTTCAGCTGGCAGGCCTATGAGTAAGGCTCGGGTCAGAGACCCACAGTCACACCTGGACCGGTGGGGTGGGCAAGGCTAGGGCAAGGAGCAAGGACTAACCTGGGTCTGGAAGGCTTCCCTTCACCCTCTCCCCACCTGCCATCCGTGACACCCTCAAATACAGACAGTCCATCAGAATGCCCTGCTCAGTTAAGGAATCTCGGACCCTCAAAGCGGAAGAGCTGAAAACGGTGTACCACCAGAGGGCGCCACACAAAGCGATGTGCAGACTGCAAGTGGCTCCCTCGTGTCTGTTCATTTGCTGAATTCAGTCCCGGCTCACAGACACAGACCAAAGGTGTCTAGGACTCAGCTCTGCCTACCGTCTACGGATGACCACAAGAATGTCTAACTCTTATCATGTACCTGCTTTATGCAAGGCACTGTCCTATGAGGGCTGAGTTGGGAGTTAAATCTACTGTATTTAGCTAAGTTAAAACACCGTATGATACGAAAGCACTGAAATTCAGAGACCCGGGAGCTACCCCGGGACTCTGGATAGCCTGCTGCCCCTGACAAGGTGAGAAAGTAGAGATCCAAAGGTCTGAAGAAAATATCCCAGGTGGAGAGGAGCTATCTCTGAGCCCTCAGGACCGGGCCCCAAGGAGACACTACACTCCCGGAAACCGAGGTAGAACGGGTAGGCAGCTGGGATCAGATTCCCTCCACCTGCTTTAGGGGAACACTGACAGAGGGACAGATTACCATGCACCAAGGCCTGGGGCGTTCACATGGGACAGGCACTGGCTATTATGCTGGGCAATAGCCCTGGCTTGGCCCCTGGCTATCAGAGAACGCTTGGACAACCCTCTTGGTCACTCTGGGTTTGTGTCTCCCACTAGAAAATAAGGACTAGAAGATCTATGGTGTAAGGAAACAGGACCCTTTCCTCATGCATAGCCCTCGTAAGCTCAGACATGAGGCTCTTTTCAACAGGTGGGCAAGTTCAAGGTGGTCTGCCCTACTGCAGGAGTTTCAGGGAACCCTGGGCCAGCTGAGGTGGGCATACAACCCAAACTTGACAAAGCATACCTCTGGCTGGAGAACATAAACTCACTGATAATTAAGACAAAAAGTATTAAACTTGCACACATTGGTGTTTTTAGGTAGGGGCCAAGGGTGAAGGGAAGTAGAAGGTTCAGAGTCACAGAGTCTTACAAATCCAGCCCTTGTCATTCCCTAACTTGCACCACGCTGGCAAATCAAACACCTAGGAGCCTGGGTCCCAGCTTTCTCACTGTAAATGAGAAGCAAAATAACCAGCTTCTAGCCCTGCTGTGAAACTTGGAAAAAACAAAAACAAAAACAAAACACAACTGCTGTGAAACTTGAGAAAAAAAAAAAAATTGAAAAACAAAAAACACAATACAGGCAAAGTGCACAGCGACCAGCTAGTGAGAAACACTCAAAAGCATGAGTCCCCATGTGGTCCCAGCTCTACCTTTTTATGTTAATTGTCTAAGAAATCTGTCTCCAAGTTCTCACGTACTATATTCCCTCAGAGCATATGTGACCTGCGGCAACAAGCCTCAGTGTCATCTCCATGGCAGAGCTAGAGGACACCACGAAGAGACACCACCGACGGAGCCTGCCCTAACTGGAGGAGGAGGGGCTTGCCACTCTTGCCCACCCACACGGAGAATCCCCAAGCCCTCGGTCCCCCGGACAGGTACGTGCTCCCCAGAAGCCAATGCCCAGCTCAGAGGAGGCATGCCAGCCAGGCTCAGGGTGCTGCAGTGAGTGGAGCTCAGGTGGCTCTCTCACAGATGGTCACCCTTGAGAACGGCGCTGTAAGCACAGCTCCTCCTGCCAGATAAGGCAAAGGGGGCCACCACCCTCCAGAGGGAACAAGGGCAGGGAGTGCACTTGACCTCCGATCGAAGTACGACGTTCTCCTCTTCGAGGTCCTTCAGCTTCTTCTGAAGAGAATCTAGATGGAAGTAATTCTGGACGGAGGAGGATGACTCATTCCTCTTCAACCTGGGGGAGAAAGTGCAACTTCGCTCCAGAAAGAGAGACTGGCTCCCTGCACCTGGCCAAGTACCGTTTCCGGTGGGGGGAGGGGTGACCATGAACCATGCAGGGGTGATGGTGGCCCCCTGCTGCCACATAGGCTCACCAGCACTCAGGACCCCCATCCCCACCCTCTGGCCACCGTGTGCAGCTGCCACATGGCCTCACAACTCAGCAGAATCGACTATTTGAAGCTGACACACAATTCCAGATGCCTAGAAGTCTATTTCATATTTACATTGCAATTCTGTGTGCCTAGTTCTAAGTACTCTACAGGTATGAAGCCAATTAATGCTCATAACCCTCTGAACCAAGTACTATCAGGATTCCCATTTAACAAAGAGGAAACAGGCACAGAGTGGTTAAGTAACTTAACCAAGAGCACACAGCTAGGAAACCACAGAGCCAAGGTCTGAACTGAGACCACTGGGCTCTAGAGTTCATGCTCCTGATATAAGGTTCTGAGGACTCTCTGAGAAGTCTCCACACCTTCTGTCCCAGGGGCTCGCCGTGGCATCTCTGGCTCCAGAACCCATCCTATCCTCTACCTAACCTCAGGGCCCACCTGTTACCCGTGACCAGGCCGGATCAATCTAAATTGACAAATAACCCTGTCTCCTTCCACGTCCTGCTGAAATCATCCAATCTGTCGGAGGCACATGGAGATGCTTGGTCTGGGGAAGGCCGGGAGCAGTGGACCTGAGCCACTGGGGAAGTGACCCTGCCAAGGGACTGCCAAGGACACAGGTGACAGCCAGCTGCCTGCACCGAGGCCCCAGAGACACGGCCCTCTGTGACTTACGGGGTGGAGCACACGGACTCGGGCTCGCTCTCCTCCGCGGCGCTGGTGTAGAACTGAAGCAGCTCATCCTTCATGGACAGCTCATGCCGGAGCTGAGACACCTGCACAGACACAGTGGGGCCGGGGTGGGGGGGGCGGATAGCATTCAGCTCTGAGCACCACTGAGCCCCCGACATGTCCAGACACTTGCTGCTGGGTGACAATGTCTGTTTAATTCCTCACCCAAAGTGAAGGCGGGTCATCGATTTTGGGCTTTTCAAGGAAGAGAGGTTGCATTTGATCCCACTGAAGAAGAATACAGTAACCGTGTTTTGACAGAAAACCCTCTGCCTAAGTTTATGGTTTTTACTTTGGTTCAGAGAGGAGGTGAGAGGAGACTAGAAGGCTCTGGAATGAGGTTTGGGGGTGGGGGACAAGACAGCATATGGGCTTTGCAAGTAGCCAGATGACCAGCTGGGCAAATGGCCAGAGAAAGAGATCGTGTTACCAAGCGAAAGAAGAGGCCATTCACTTCTGCTGAAATGCAACGCCACCCTGGACTGGGCCCCTGGCGACGCCAGCTCTGGGTGGGCAGCTACGAGCAGCTTCCCCACCCTCGCTGTCATACTTGCGACACTCACAGCTCCACCCTGTGACTGCTGCGCTCTTACAGGGCTCGCGGCCAAGCCTGGCCAGACCTTGCTCTGTACTCAGTGACCACAAGATAGCAATTTCAGACACAGGGAGAAAGGAGGCAGCCATCAGGAAGTGGCCATACTGATAACTAGGACAGTTTTTGCAAGTCGCCTAATTTATACTTAACATCTTAAGCAAACAAACCTGTGCCATAAAAGTTTTCACTTCTGATTAGCAGGGAACCGGTGCTCTAAGCGAGAATTACAATCTGGTTGTCATTCTTTCTTGTTTCTAATTTGATTTGGGGTCTACAGTTGTTCCCAGCTTTCCTACCCAACACAGTGGGTATTTATGACTTCCACGGAGAAGCAAATTCTATGTGCACAAAAGCTTTAGTTCTAACATCTACATTGACAATTTAATGATGTGCCAAAGGGGAACATATTACAGCTTCCAAATTCAAAGCTTTTCCAAGGAAAAAGACACTTTTCCACTTCCAAATAGGTGGGTACTCTCTGTGTAATGTGAGGGAACCCCCGGCAAGGGCAGTCATGTGGAGGAACAGCACACGAGGGACAGTGGGCGACCATGTATTGGTCCCCTGGATGGCAGGTCCTCTGCTCCCTAATGCCTGCGAGAAGGGGAGGTCAGGCCATGATGCTGGGTGCCAGGAAAGCAGGGGGCAACTTGACTTCTCCAAACATGACCATATCCTACCCGAACGTCTTCCAGAGGAAGCCGTCCGGGGTGAAAACTTTTCTCAGATATTGGCAAGTCTGTTTCGTCAACATTAAAACCATTACCAAACCCAGGCAATAATAGGTGGGAACAGCTTCCATGAGGACAAGGTCTAAATAAATCTGAAAGACATGAGTCCGGGCATCCGCTCCCACTTAGAAGGTTTCTGACAGAAAATAAGGAAAACCAGGAGAAGAAGAAGGTCAAGTGAAAGTCCTCACAGCTAAAATCTGCAGTTGAAAGAACAGGATGATGGGGAAGAAGCAACCAAGTAGGGCCCGGCTCTAATTCCTAAGCCCGTTCCAGCCACCCTGCCCGACTCGGCAGAGCCCCCCTTGTCCTACCCACACCACAACCTTCCAGAAAACTAGTGCTGCTCCTCCGAAACCCCAGACCAGTAAGATAAGCCTAAAGCATTCAGCACCCCAGCCCTGACCACTGATGCCCTTCAGCCAAGGTTTGGGTCATGAAAATGATAGGGTTCCTACCATGACTCCAATAGCCTATTTTTTTCATTTTGTTTTACAAACACAAAATCGTATTGGAATGAAGAATGTGCCGTCGCTGCCCTACTCTGCAGCACAGGCTAGCCTCTTCCCGACAGGGCTCCCCTATGGCCTGCCTGTGCCCACCTGCCCCAGGAACCCCCGCTCACCGCCGTCTTAGCCTGCGTGCACTCCTCACAGGCTAAGTATACTTTGCAGCCTGTGTGAGGACCTGGACTCTCAGGGCACGGGGACAGGTGCTGACCCCACACAGCCAGGCCTGGTGGCACTGGCTACTCTGGCCCTAGTGAGCAGGTGAAGGTTGTTCCTACCCCAGCTGGCGCGGTCCACACTGTCTGAAGCAGGGTCATGAACAGAAGCAGCAGCAGGAAGGCAGCCTTCTGCCTGCAGGAGGCCACCCCAGAATAGACAGCTCTGGAGCCTGAGCGCAAGCCCGCCGGCCCCTGGCCCTTGACACCAGCTCACCTCCTCCCTGATGTGTTCCACCTGCTCCTCCAACAGCTCGTTCCTCTCCGTTAGTGTCTTGTTCTTCTTCAACAACGACTGGCCGATCCGAGCAGCCAGTTCTAAATCCCGCTCTTTCTATAAAAGGCAAAGGTGAGAACAGATGTTCAGAACACCTGTGCTTCCCAAAGGAGCCCAGGGCGCTCATCGTCAACTGAGGAAAACAGGACATTTTGAACTAACTCGCCGTCCACGTACCCACACTTGATACCTGTTCAAAGAAGGGGATGCTCTGCCTACAGAAGGTGTCAGAGCTATGCAGACCTCGGGCAATGGGAGACAACCCAAGGACTATAAGTCTCTGTTCCTACCAGAGAAACGCGCTTCCAAAAAACATTCCTCCGCAGCGGCTTTGGGTGTCTGTGAAATCACGTGACAATCTGTCCGCCTGAGGGCTGGGCTTCTGTACCCTTATGGCCCAGCACATGGAAATACTCTGTAGCTGCCTGCTGGATGAATGAATGAGCACAGGAATCCCACAGTGCTCTTGCAATAAAGCAAAGAGCTGATGCAGGGAGGCAGGCTCCTTAGAACATACGAAAGTGGAATTTACAGAGCTATTTGTCTTTACTTCATGCGAAACAGAAATGGCCAAAGTTACTCTGAAATCCAACAGCACGTTTCTTTTACTTAATGGAGGGTACTTAGGTTGATTTTTTATTATTTATGTATTTATTTGAGAGAGAGAGAGAGCATGCCTGCACAAGAGGGAGGATCCAAGGGAGGGAGAAAGAGAGAATCTGAAGCAGACTCTCCCCTGAGCATAAAGCCCGACGCAGGGATGGATTCGGGGACCCTGAGATCAGGACCTGATCCGTGGAAGGAGCCTGAAACTTCTGATCTCAGGGTTGGGGGATTTGAGCCTTCCCGTTGTGTGTAGAGATTATTAAAAAAACAAACTTTTAAAAAACTTCTAAAAATACTTTCAAAATGGAGGGGCGCCTGGGTGGCTCAGTCATTAAGTGTCTGCCTTCAGTTCAGGTCATGATCCCAGGGTCCTGGGACTGAGTCCCGTATCGGGCTCCCTGCTCAGCAGGAAGCCTGCTTCTCCCTCTCCTACTCCCCCTGCTTGTGTTCCCTCTCTTGCTGTCTCTCTATCAAATAAATAAATAAAATTAAAAAAAAAAACTTTCAAAATGGAGATAATGCATAAAATCTTGCCTTACCTCAGGGACAAAGACTGTGTTAAGGACACAGAAGTTTTTTTATTTCAGCTGATGATACCACTTATATGCCTCAGAACAGTACACCAAGGAAGATCTTTATTTATTTGACAGAGATCACAAGCAGGCAGAGAGGCAGGCAGAGAGAGGAGGAAGCAGGTTCCCTGCTGAGCAGAGAGCCCGATGTGGGGCTTGACCCCAGGACCGTGAGATCATGACCTGAGCCGAAGGCAGACGCTTAACCCACTGAGCCACCCAGGCACCTACACCAAGGAAGATCTTTAGTGGCATATAAAGGTACAGCTGTGGGGCACCTGAGTGGCTCAGTCGGTGGGGCAGCCGAATCTTGACTTCGGGTAAAGTCATGATCTTAGGGCTGTGAGATCAAGCCCCCATGTCAGGGTCTGTGCTCAGCCAGGAGTCTGCTTGAGATTCTCTCCCTCTCCCTTTGCCCTTCCCCCTGCGCCCTTCCCCGACTCCCCACTTCTGTGCTCTCTCTAAAATAGGTAAATCTTTAAATAAATAAATACATATATATATATGTATTTATATTATTTATATAATAGAAGGAAAGATGTTTCCTGACAGTGCAGACAGCAGGACAGACGCCATCACCGAATGCTGACTCCTCCGTGCTGAGAAACTGTTTGCCACTGTGGTTAGGTTCAACTTGCTCCCTTGTGGGTAGGATTAGCAAGGGGAGGGGAGCTCTGGGAAACTAAATCATTTATGAAGCTTGTGCTAATTTCATACAGCTGGAGTAAAAAGAAGAGGAATGGGAATGTGGAGTTTAGAGAAGGAGAAAAGCTGGGCGGGGGAAGCAGAGGCCTGGGTGGCTCAGTCAGTTAAGCATCTGCCTTCAGTTCAGGTCATGATCCCACGGTTCTGGGATCAACTCCTCCACCAGACTCCTTGCTCAGCAGGGTAACTGCTTCTCCCTCTCCCTCTGCTTGTGTGTGTGTGTGTGTTTGTGCACACGCACACATTCTCTCTCTCTCTGACAAATAAATAAATAGAACTTAAAAAAAAAAAAAGCGAGGGAGGAGCCTTAGCTTCTAACTGGCTACTAACTAACCATATGACCTTGGGCCAATGGCTTCCATTTAACAAGGATCAGGTACACTCTAGGTCAGCTTTTTCCAAACATACATTATAAACCATGAGTAGGTTGAGAATCATTTTTGTAATGGCAACTGATAATTTGTTTTAAATGAAATTCAACAGCACAAGATTGAAATACCAAAGTGCATTCCACATAACGAGGGTATTATTTCATGTTTATGCTTTCGCTTGTCATATACTCATTTATGGGAGTACTGAGTCGCAACCTGAGATGCGTTCCTTACAGTGGATATTGGTCAAAAGTTTACCTGCTCCAGGGGAACACTTCTCTTCCACAGCGGTGAGATTGGGCTCTGGCTGAACATCCCTGGAACCCAGTTCCCTCCTCTGTTAGGTGGGGAGGGGGTGTGGGGCAGACTGGCTGTTAGCTACCCTTGAAAAAATCTCCTAGCATTATGATTCAGACTTGTACGATATGAAGAAAACAAAGGCACTTTGTATTTCTAACTTTTTATATGCCCACTGAATAATTCTGTGCATGAGCAGCACACTTTACCCCTTGCTTATCACAGGAATTTCACTGACATAGGAGCCGAGCAATGGAGGTTGGAGTGCCGTCTGGGAAGACTCTAGATGCGATTTGGCACTCTCTCTCGCACAGATGATGGCCACTCCCCACTCCATTTCCCACAGTCTGGAAACCTGTCACTGCTGTCACGGTTGCCCCAGAAGCCAGCCAGGTGTCACATCACAGGGCCCACAAATACCTCCACCTTATTCCCACAATCTGAGCCTACCAAGGCACAAGGGGGACCAGGGACTCTAGCCAATGAACCGAGATTTTCCTTTCTGTGAACTCATCTGTGCTTGCCACAGAGTCTTCCAAGGATGGTCCTCTGCTCGGTGGCCCTTCATCACTTCTGAGACTCAACCTATGTGTTTACTGGGTACGTGGAGGAAAGGACCCAGAGGAATGGTGGGAGGGAACCTACCTCTCCAGTCCGACTCAAAACCAGCATCTTGTGCAAATGGTTTCGGCTGGCTCTCCCTCACTTAAAAAGGCAATACCAGTGTCAATTTCTCTTTGGAAGTGTGGTCTCCACGCATCTAACTCAAGCCCACTGAATCTACCAGAACAAATTCTCAGACTGAATACCCAGGAAGCACTTAAGGCCAGAGGCTTCACTGCCTCCCTGGGTCTACGCTGCAACCATGCATGTGTAGTGGGAAGTTCCGACAAGCGCAGACATTCCGCATGTCTTGGCCACAGTCTGCATGCAAACCCCACGGCAAACAAATCAAGCAAAAATTACAGTTACGAAAGCCTGCTGGGTAAGGCCGGCTGGAGCACCCGAAGGATGGTGAGGGCTTCCCATGGCACACAAAGGCCCAAGAGAGCCCAAGAGCAACGGGCAGGGGAAGAAAAACAAATGGGATGTGCACTCAGTGAAGCCCCTCGCCCTCCCCATGACACCCCAAACCTCAGACCTGGGGCTCTCCTCACCATCCCTGCCCCACAGTGGGACAGCTTTCACCCCATCTACACCAAAAACTGAATCTTTATAGTAACAGAAACAAAAACTCTCTGCAGGGGGTTAAAAAAAGGATAAGTTATAGTAAAACTATTTATGGATGAAATGAAAAAATTAAACAAGTTCTGTGGTGTCTAAAAGTTATCTAAGGGGAGTACCTGGCTGGCTCAGGTGGTAGAGCATAAGACTCTTGCTCTCAGGCCTGTGGGTTCGAGCCCCACGCTGGATGTGGAGATGACTTAAAAGTTACCTAAAAATAGTTCATTTAAAAGTTACAGTAACTAAAAACTTAGTGAAGTAGCTCTGGTTTTTCTTTACTAAGAGGACAGACTGGTTGGTTTCTCCTGAACGATTCCAGAAATGAAACATTCACATATATTACACAACCAGCCAAAATATGGTAAATGTTTATAGCTAAAAACAGGAAAGCAGCTAGGAAGTGACCACTGGGTTAAACTACAGTGAGCATGAGAGATTACAAATAAAGAATTTAGGCCTTTGGAAATTAACTATTAAAAGAGCCGGGTTCCCTCGTTCAGCTGGGAAATGCAGCCAGGAGGAGGAGCTCATTCCTAGGGCTCACTCGCTCTGCCTGCCCCTGCTTTGCTTAAAGAGACAGTGACCTGGCTCGGCCCCTTCTGCCAGCGGCGCCCCTGCTGTCTGACAACAGCCCCCGGAGATGGAGAGCAGCAAGCCTCCCACACCTGGCGGCTGACTCATCTCATTCACCAATCTCAGCATCAAAAGCATGACTAAGGGGCCCTCAGAACAACCCTCTCCAAACGAGGGGGAGAGAGTAGCGGGAGGCAAGCTCTGCCCAAAGGTAAATCCAAAGGCAGGAAGCCAAGGAGAGCTGCTGCGGAATCCTCTTCCCCCTTAGAGGCAGAAACAAAAGCTCCCCACCCGCCATGGGCTGCCCTTTGGCATCCTGTGTGTAGTACGTGTACACACACACAGACACACACACACATTCTCTCTCTCTCTCTCTCCCCCCACCCCCCACCCCCTGACCCTGCCTGCATGTGGCCGGCCTGCGAACCAAAGCAAATGATCAGAGGAAGTGGAACCAAAGCCAAGCCAAGCAGAACACAGCCCAGGACCATGGTCCGGTGACCAACGCAGTTCACCTTTCACCGGGGAACCGCCTAGTTCCGAAGAAAGGCAGTGACTCAGAGGTGGTTCTTATCAGGACGAGGAGAAGAATGGCATTATAAATGAGACACACATACACACAGACCATGCCAGAATGAGCTGCTAAAAACAGAACCCAGAGGGCACAAAGCCACCCAAAGAAAGCGCCCCACAAATATTCTTTCTTCTTGACAGCTCAGGTTTTTTGGATTTTTTTCTGTTTTGTTTTGTTTTGTTTAAAGAGGACAGCCTGCCATCTGGGGAGTGACCCTGGCTGAGCAGATGAGCTGGGGGGACGGGGAACTAGACACCCAGGCTCTGCATGCAGGGCTGCAGGCCCCGCTCCTTTGGGAGCAATCCTCAGACGTCCGAGCAGAGACGGGGCTCCGCACCGCCAGTGCCAGCTCAGCAGGGACCAAGCACGGCAGGGGGCGGACACTCACAGAGTAAGCATCCCATAAAAAATATGACCCTGTTTGTGTTTTTATAAAAAGTCCCACTGACAGCCAATGGACTATACTCCCCACAAAATGAATAGGGCAGTCAACGCTCAAGCCAAAAGCATGAGTCCCAGGTGCTGCAGTTACCAGCCTGGGGTGCACAGCAGCTGTGTGGCCCTGGGCTGCTTCTGTCCTCTGATTCGGGTCCCTTCACCCAAACCAGGGGCACCCGTGGCGGAGAGCTACCGCAGAACTGACAAGACACAGTTCTCAGAAACAATTCACCCTTGATAACAAGCATGACAACAGCAGCAGACACTTGCAAAGGGCCTATCATTTCCAAGGTTATAAGGGAAGAGACCTCCCCACCCACCCAGCGCCCCTGTCCTGGATAGTCCCCACCTTGGAAAAGCTTCCAGCTAATCTGGCTAGGAGAACAGGACAAAGGGAATTGTAGGATGACTGCCATGCTCAGGGCTCACGGGGGTACAGAACCCCTGGAGCCGTGGTGACAAACAGCTCTGAAGGTCCCCATGAGCCCTGCCGCACAACACTCAAGGCCAGGGAAGGATGGGGGAGGTCCCTGGTGACAAGCTGGAGGGGGTTTCAGAATGGGATCTGTGTGTAGCTTTGGTTGCCAAAGTGAGGACTTCTAAGTGTCTATAAGTATGCGGGGGGCGGGCAAAGAGGTCACACGGGCTTGGGATGCAGGCGGCTACAGAGAGAAATAGAAACCTCCCTCCTGAGGCTCTGTGGGCTGGAGGAGTGGAGTGGGCTTGGAATAAAAAGAACGGTCCAGACAGAGCCTCCTCAGAAGATCTGACAGCTAACAGTGTGGACTAAGGAGTAGATGCTGGAAATACCAGGGTACCCAAACAGCATGGCACTGTTGGGGGGAAAGGACCAGTGGGAAGGGGTCTGTGATGAACCATTTTCAGAAGTCATTGATGCTGGGCGCCTGGGTGGCTCAGTGGGTTAAGCCCCTGCCTTTGGCTCAGATCATGATCTCAGGGTCCGGGGATCGAGCCCTGCATCTGGCTCTCTGCTCAGCAGGGAGCCTGCTTCTCCCTCCCTCTCTCTCTCTCTCTCTCTCTCTCTCTCTCAGCCTCTCTGCCTACTTGTGATCTTTTTCTGTCAAATAAATAAATAAAATCTTAAAAAAAAAAAAAAGTCGTCATTGGTGCCAACCAAGCTAGCCTCCCAAGTGCCTAACGCCAGCCACCATAATGGCAGCAACTGGAGTACCACCAGAAGGCCTGTGCCCCAAAATGCCTCGCAATGGCCCTGTCTCATGGCCAAAAACGTAACATCACTTATTTGGGGCCAACCTGTTGGTTACTGCTGTGACATGCAGGTGACTGAGAAGTCTCAGCTTCTGCCCATACGCATCCAACCGGGTCCATGAGCAGAGAGAGGACCAGCTGCAGGAGAAGGAAGGGGAGCGGATGGCTAGGCAGGTGGGGAACTCAGGGGGGAATCCAAACAGTCCACCCCTCAGAGCAGCTGTGAGAATACTGGATGTTCTGATGGGAAAAATACAGGAGAGGAGATACATAGAAGTGGGAATCAAAGATGCCTCCCAAAACTCTGGGTTCCACCACTCCTGCTCGGTCCTGTGTGGTTATTTCTATGCTGTGTAATATCCCTTTAACCTGAGTTAAGTTCCAAAAAACTACAAAGATATCATGATGATGTCTTCTTTGGATGCTTTTGGATACCCTTAAAGTATAGCATTACAAAATACTTTCAGGGTTTTTAAAAGTCTTAAATTGGGTCTTCTAGCAAACATTCCTATTTTGTGTCATTTATACATTCCTTTTAAAGATCTAACATACCTTGTACAAAGTTACAGCTACAAAGACCTGCGGAGCTATCAGTTCAAAAAGCAAAGGCACTGCTTTGTACCCCAAGAGGGCCCCATTTTGGGGACTCTTCACTGAGACCAACAACCATGTATGCTTTAATCAATGTAAGTTATAATCAGTCAATCATAAGCAGCCCTCGGCCTCGCCAGAAGCACTTACCTCCTCAAGAAGCCGAGTGACAGCATCTATGTCATTATACGTCTTAGTCATCTGGCCAACTCTTTCAGCACATAAAACTGCAAGAAACAAAAGTGGCAATGAGCTACGGATGTCACAAACCAGCCAAACAAATAACCCATCTAATAAAGCAGCCTTTAAGTCGGGCACAAAGGGTCGCTGGTTTGGCTGGGTCCGACCCACACTGCACTCGGCACCACCAGATTTCATTTCCCAGTTCCAGAGAAGAGCCTCGGGGGGGCTCAGAGGATGGGGTAACTTCCAATCCTGCAAGGTTCTGACTGTGCGTATGTGTCTATGTGTGCCACGCTCGTGCACACATATAGGGGTGGCACGGGGGACAAGACGCTGGATTAGAAAGGGGTCTGGCTTCATGTAAACTCAGCAAACTGAAACGGGTCAGCAGCACAGCCACCAGTGTGTGAGGGATCAGAAAGCATCCCGAGGGTCTAGAGCTCACCAACCACAGCGACCCAACCACATGGACGGAGTAGGATCCTTCAGAAACGGGCTACTGGTATAATTATTAAATAACAATCTTAGGGGGCGCCTGGATGGCTCAGTGGGTTAAGCCTCTGCCTTCAGCTCAGGTCATGATCTCAGGGTCCTGGGATCGAGCCCCGCAGGGTCTCTCTGCTCAGCGGGGAGCCTGCTTCCCCACCCCCACCCCCTCCTGCCTCTGCCTACTTGTGATCTCTGCCCATCAGATAAATAAATAAATAAGTAAAATCTTATAAATAAATAAATAAATAACAATCTTAGCTGATCATTTCATAACGGTGCAGCCCCTCCCCTCCCCTCTCCAAACAGCCTAAATTCTAAGGCAAGGCAACCAGTTTCCCTACCATGAAAACTAGGGTTGTCGATTCTTTTTAATCCACACCAAAAAGGCTGATACCATTCCTGCCACGGACCAATACACAGCTCGCAGACTGGTATTTCACCACGTATCTAATTGGCTGTGGTCATGAGAGGCTACGCGGGCCACCTGAGGGGGCGTCGGTCTTTGTTCTCCTTCTGTTGGAGTAAAAGGTCGTGCCACAAAAGAACACTTAAGTCTGCGGAAAAATCGCAGGGCGGTTTTATTATAAATCCATGGCAAGGAATCGATTTGCAATTCTGCAAACACCAAGAAGGGTGTCACAGGTTTTATTCTGTGGAGGAAGGAATAAACGTAAGTCCCTCTAGGACCCAAGTGAAAAATTATTTGAAAGTTGCCACTTCTGCCATATTAATAAAGTCCTGGTAACTCCTTATAACTAAGATTCTACAAAATAATTCCTTAAGAGCCGAAGACTTGGTTCAGCTTTCACAATGACCCACGTTCAGTAACGGCCCAGGCAAGGCAGCTGGGAATCAAGTGGGTTACTAAGCCAACCTCCGTAGCATTGTTAATGGCAAGCTGCAAGAGGAATGCGATAGGTCTCTAAATATTTTATTAAATGCAAGTAAAGATCACCCTAGTGAATGAGCTCAGAGAAAGCGGACCCGTTGGAATGATTTTCTAGCTTAAGGAGATCTGAAATCTGGTTCCAAATCTGAAACCCCCTTCCAGCTCTCTCCTCCACCAGACACTTCTGTGGGACTGGAAGGAAGTATGCTGCCTCAGGCGCTTTCCTTCCCTGGCCTCCAGTGGGGGCTGCCCTGCTAGCAAAAACCAGAGAGCTTCATGTAAGGGTTGGTTTAAACCAGAATTTAACTTGATGGAGGTGGAAGACAGCTCAAACTGCTCTAAATTGTTCATCAACTCAGGGCAGGAGAAATCCTTAAGAGAAGATTCCAGTTTGTTTTCACGGGAGCGAGGTGGGGGGTACAACTGTGCTCTGCGGCAGCATTGCAGGAAAAGATGCAGGAGGCCCCCCCAGCCTGTTGGCCCCACAGACAAGCATCGGCACACCCAGTTCATTAACAAGAAACAGATCCCAGCGGTAACAAAAGGCCTGTGTGTGGAACCCGCTGTTGTGACCAGGGGGCCCTACTTACTGCCTACCCCAGCCCTTAACTTAAAGGACCAAGTACTTGGCTAATGTGGAGAAAAAGAAAACCAGGCTAGACTTGAATCGGTCTCCATGTCACCCAAACAGGAGATAGCAGGATTCCAAGCTGCCTTTTTTCCTCTGGGATTGTATTAATCAGAAATTACACTTCTATTTTTAGGCGAATTTTTTGAGTTAATCATGTGTAGATAATCACACGCAGATGTATGAAATAATACAGAGGTCCCTAACACCCTTTACCCAGTTTCTCACAGATGGTAACGTTCTGTGAAATATCACAACCAGGGCACTGACACTGACACAATCCACAAAGCTGACTCGGATTTCCCCAGCTTAATTCTTACTCGTCTGAGCGTGCAAACATGCCCCCAGTCCTATTACTGTGTTGGTTGTGTATCCACCACCACAAAGATCCCTCGTGTTTCCTTTTCTAAAGCTAATTTTCAAAAAGCTTTAATGTGCTTTAACCATTGACCCAATAGTATGTATACACTTGGACCAGCGAGTTTTTTCCTAGCATGAACCAGATACATATTGTTGCCACGCACACAGGGATAGGAGGGCAGCTGTGACTTTTCACGTTCAGTAAGGGCTGCAGAGTGAGGGAGAGACCTTCCAAAAGTCCCCAGGCCTTTGAGAGAGCCCAGCTTTGGAAGTCAGAGGCATAAATGAAAAACCACTGCTGACTGAGCTATTAAAGGATGTGTATTGTTGTTCCAGTAATGCTCTGAAAAATACATGTAATCTGGGGTGCCTGGGGGGCTCAGTGGGTTAAGCCTCTGCCTTCAGCTCAGGTTATGATCCCAGGGTCCTGGGATGGAACCCCGCATCAGGCTCCCTGCTCAGCGGGAAGTCTGCATCTCCCTCTCCCACTGCCCCTGCTTGTGTTCCCTCTCTTGCTGTGTCTCTCCCTGTTAAATAAATAAATATATACATATATATTATATATATAATATTATATATAATATTATATATATAATCCTAATGAAGAGAAGATGTACTGATTTATAATAAAAACACAGGAAAAAATTAGAAGAGTCATAAAAATATTGACATTTAGATAGCATTACAAATTCAAAATTTTTTTTTTGTAGTGACCATGTACTGATGGGGGAAAAATGACTTAAAAGATTTCTCAGAACGTATACAGTTGACTACAATAGAGGGTCCTGGGATCCTCCCTGATGCAACTTTTTAGAGAAATCACTAACAGCAGCAGCAGCAGACCTTTACTGAGCACATCTCCTATGGCCGGGCCATGCTCAATAGCCCTCTATATGGATGACTGATAAATACGGCAGGATGGGAACTTACACTAACCCCATTTTAAAATGGGAAACTGCTGGGTGGCTCAGTGGGTTAAGCCTCTGCCTTCCGCTCAGGGTCCTGGGAACAAGGCCCGCATCGGGCTCTCTGCTCAGCAGGGAGCCTGCTTCCTCCTCACTCTCTGCCTGCCTCTCTGCCTGCTTGTGATCGCTCTGTCAAATAAATAAATAAAATATTTTAAAAAATAAAATGGGAAACTGAGGCCCAGAGAGGTTAAGTCACTACTCTGATGTCATAAAGCTACCAAATGGTGATGTCAGTCTAAGAAGAGATGCCCAACAGGGGCAGCCGTTAACATTCACACAGTTTCTACTAAGTCCGGGGGATTTAATGTGCTTTTTCCTTAATCCTCACCGCAGCCCTGCAGGGTGGGTGCTGTCATGATGACCATTCCACAGATGAGAAAACTGAGATGTGAAGGACCCGACCAAGGTCATGGCTGCACAGCAGGACTGCACGTCGTTGGCCAGTCTGGCTTGCATCGTGAGCTAGGGAGCCATAGAGAACACAAGGGCAAGGCTGAGGCCAGCACACATCAACAATATTCAGGACCCAGAAACAGAGCAAGAAACATCTGTGGTGTAGGACAGAGATCCCCGGCGCCAGGGCTCTGAGGCTTAGGTTTTCACAGGAGACTCTACCAAGGTCATGAGGCCCTGGACAAGCCCTGTAATTGTGTGTCTTGGGTTCCTCTTCCAAGAAATGAGGGGGCTGGGGTGAGAACAAAGAAGTGGGCAAAGAACCAACAATGCCTTTAAACAGTAAGCCAAGTATAGGCTGCACCTTCCAAGCATAGACTTTCTAGATATTCAATCTACAAGAGACCATGGTCCTGTTTCTCTCTCCATGGGAACGACATTCCAAAGGGAGGCTCTAGTTCTGACCAAAGGAGCGCTAGCACATCAATCCACTTCCACTCAAAGGATGTTGAAAAAACAAACACTAAAGTAAAAGCACAGCCATAAACCTCCACAGTAACATGAACAAACTAGGGTCTAAGTCCTAGAAAAAGAAGTTTAACATGCCCACAGTAGCAAAGCTGATACACCATACACACAGCACCCCTCCTGCAGTATCAAACTAACGTGTCTCAAAAGGGCAGCAGACTCTGTGATCACCAGGACGGAAGACCTGCTCCTTCCGAGGCACAGGCCACCCACATGCCCCTTCCGGGTAACGCTGGGCCGGGGCCCAGGGTGTGTGAGGCCCGGCAAGTCCGTTTAAGGAGCCTGGGCTTCCATGATGGGACAGCAGAAGCCATTCTCAAAGAGGAAGTGTCCACCTAAGAGCTGTATTTCAGAAAAAATTCTGGCTACAGTACAGAGAAGTGGGGGGGTGGGGGTAGTCAAGGCTGTTGATTAATCCAAGGCAATCTTAAATGGCTGTAAAATGGAGAGAAGTGGTCTCTCTTGCTCAGAGAGTTAAGAGACAGGATGGGATGGGAGGTAAATCAGAAAGACAGGATTTGGGCTTCTCACCAGAACAGAGGGGACACGGGCACTCCACTTCTTAGGCCTACTGTCCCCCACAAAGACAGGTGCATGTGACAGAAGGTCAGAAGCACGACAGGGCGGCCTTAATGCAGTCACTGGCAAGGGGGGCAGCGGCTGAGGTCACTACGGGAATAACGAGTCAGGCAGAGAGCCACACAACCACCTGTAGCAGGAGGCCCACAGCAGCAAGGAATGCCTTCCCAGGAGCTAAATCATGGTCTGCAATGAGAGAAGAACCCAGTG